GTAAAATCCGAACTGCTATACTCAGGCAAGAATTGCTGAATATCGTCTATAATTTTGTCTAGCTCTGTCTAAATTTTGCAATTCTGTTTTCAGTGCGCTACAAGTCTTGGATTAGTGTATAACCCACCTCTCAATGAGTGGTGATTAAAGGGTAACACACGACACACACCGAGTTATTCAATAAAGTGAGAAATGCTTTGAATTCAAAATTAAAGTCCACGAATTTGCCAATTCATCTATTCTGACCTTAAATTTTAAATTCACTTCAACTTAATTTTAAATTCTAGGCAATACTCTATTTAGTGAATAATCTTGAAAAGAAATAATACAAAAAAGAAAAAGAAGAAAGTTAGAGAGAAATAAGGGAGGAGCGCTAACGCGTTTACAAAGTCTGCAGTTTGAGGGGGAAAAAAAAATCTAAAAGAAAAAAGGGGGACAACACTGTTAACAGCGTAAATGCTAAACTGAGCTGAAACTGTTATATTGCTACATAGCCTCTTTAAAAAAATATTGAAAACAAAATGAATCCCTTTGGATTTAGAATTGTTCTACCAAAGACAAGGTGAGCAACAGTGTTTGGCATACTCACTGGCCATGGCTTTAAACGTTCAAGTTCTTTTTCTACATTTTCAATATCTTGAAATTTTGTTGCTCCATCAGCATCGGCCATTAATATTGTTTTGCCACGTGATACAAGAACTCCCTGCAAAGATGAAAAATAAGCACAATATTATGCAAAGCAGCAGCAGGTTACATACTACAGAAACATGAGGAAGAGATAATAGTGGGGATGCAAAGGTTCAGACACCATCACACCTCCCAACATTGAGTGGGAGTGCCTGCGGAGGCATCACCACTGAAAAGGGGCTGGCCCACCTCTCCCCTATCCTGTAGGCCTTTGCTGAGCGTGCTGCTCAAATGCTTTCTGAAAGGTCCTAGTGACCTACACAGCGCAAGAAAGTCTATTGATGAGCATGCGCTTCACTGCCCACATACAGTTGGTGTTCCCAGATGCGGGACACACAAGGGAACTATATCAGGATGGTGAGACAGGACTCTGAAAGTGTTGGGAGGCCTGCACTATATTCATGGCTCTAGGCGGGGCCTCAAGCTTTCCAAGTGAAATTTGTTTTGTGGGTCAGGACATGTAGCTTGTCATGAGCAGCAAGTAGATACGACTACTACTTTAGTCCACTGGACAAGTAGATTTAAAAACAAAAAAAGCAAACAAACCAACAATAAAAGCAGCACTCACTGACTGTGTGTGTGTGTGTGTAGTGTATACTGACTGACCGTAGCAAGTATGCATGTGTTGAGTGCTGGCTGTGTGTAGTATGTGTGTAAGATGCATGCTAACTGTTGTTTAGTAGGGGTGGGTTTTGGTCAAGTGTAGTGTGTATGAAGGGTTTAAGATCCTTGGTAGTCCAGTCTTGGTTAAAAATCACTAGTGGTCTGTGTGGGAAAGTTTAATTCTGCCTAATGATCCATCTTGCAAGCTTATTATCTGCAGCTGCGTTGCATTACCTGCTCCCTCGCAGTCCTGCACCCAGCAAGTTAGAGAGCAGGGCCGCAAGGAAACAGTTACTAAGGTGTGCAACGATGTAGGTGCACTCCCCACGGTCCTAGCCCTATCCTCACATTAGCCAGGTGCACGAAACAGCATTTATCGGGTGTCAAGTGATTCAAATTCCACATCCCTGGGCCTAGATGGAAAGAACATAAAAGGAGAATATACCAATTGCTGTTGTAATGTTTGGCAAGGACTAAATGCCCCACTGGCTGAGTAAGGTACTGCAGAGGGAAAAATTAGCATGGGAGCTGACCCAGGCTTGAGTCTCATTTTAGGAAGGCCAAATTATTTGGAGGCTGAGGAGGCTAGTTGTATATAGTTCTACCCTGGCTACTAATTTAAGTAGTGAGGCTGGACCCGAGCTGTTAACGGACCCTTTCTCAAAGTCATACCACCAACGCTGACACCACAGTGCAGCTGGCCTGCACTTGACTTGTGAGTACATTTTTAATTATGTTCACTGCATAATTTACTCTACTGAGAGCACTATTAGTTGTCTTTTATATATCCCTCTCCTGAGTGTTGGACACCATCCCTCTGGAGGACTCCCATCACATCTCTTTTAAAGCGTTGATTATACCGCTGTACGCTCTCCACACCAGAGCTGGCTATAGCTCTTCTAAATGTGAGTTGACTGCACATATCTGTTTATTTTACCTATACGAGCTTGAACATATTGCACCATTGGTTTTCCTTGCTTTGTTTTACATACAAGTGGGACGGTTGGACTACTAAAGACATTGAGGAGTGTCCCAAAACAAGCACCTTATAAAGACATTTACCACTGAGTGAGACTTAAATATTTATTTATTTTTATCTTCGATGATTTTACCAGAACTTTAGTACCTCTGTCTCATTGAGACCACACACACTGTATTGTCTTACATGTTTATCCTAAGTATTGTATTAATATTATTTTTACCATTTACCTCTTGGTGCAGCCCTTTTCCTGTAATTTTTTGTGTCACATGTTCTCTCTCCAGAGGGTTTGAGAGTTACCTTCTGTTGGGCCGCTGCCTACCTTACTTCTATTTTTATTAGCGCTGACCCTTTTCTATTATTTTCATAAAAGGAAAACAGAGAATATTCAGTACCATTCTGACTGCACCACCCTTGCCACGATTCTTTGTTAAGGTCAAGACTCGGACTTTATCACTTCCATATCGCTTGGAATAGTCCAAGGCAACCTAAGAAGAAACAACAACAACAAAAGAACAAAAAAAACAAAAAACAAGAGATTAAAGAAATCATAGGAATTTTACAAAATCAATGGCTTTTTAAAATTAATAAATATTATTCACACCTTTCAACATTATATAGGTTATGCTTGGAACTGTATCAGATGTTTGGTATATTGTTTTCTTTTTTGTTTGTTTATTAAGAAAAGAAAAAAAAACAATAACGGGAAAAATTTGTTAAGTAGAACAAAATCGGCAGGCACTTTCAATTGGTTTCCACTGTGAATGCGTCACTTTAAAAAAAATTCACCACAATTTGTTTTATACATAGGAGAAAATGCTTCATAACACAATAAGAGCTAAACTGGGGCAAAATGCTTAATAATGGAAAGCTTTGGTTACTGCTTCTTAATTAGCACTTTGCCCATGATTACCACCTAGCCTTTTTAAAATCTTTACTATAATCTCAACTGTTCCATTTACTTATTAAGGAAGGGGGGGAGGGGACATGGGGCTGTCAAGGCAAAGATTTGAGCATTCAGTACAGAAATAGGCTAACAACAGCAGCATAGTTAGTATGCAGCAACTATAGCAAGTTACCCAAAATTCTCAGCCTGCCATATCCTTGCTTTCCATCATGGGTATTGCATCCCAACAACTTGAGTGGCAAAAGCTAGTTTACAGAAAGGTAACTATAAAATCTAGAATGCTCATTCTGTAATCATTTTGATTAAAATATGCAATTATGGATATTATTATTACCCGTATACCATATTTTAATATAACCCTACATGATGTCACATGAGTGCATCTTATACTCATATTAAAAATTATTTCATTTGTAGGACCAGTGATTGAGAAATTTGTCTCCCAAAAGCAATTTTTTAACCTATTTGACATATCCCCTTATCATACTGGAAATAACTTTTCCCTCATCCAATTGCAGAAATGCAGGACAACAATTGATTTTTGTGAATTATTCTATTCCATTCATAAAAAATAAAAGTGACATAACTTCATAGTTTGGTGGTGACACAAATGTACCTAAAGGGGTACTCAAAGCACCATAACCACCACAGCAGATTGTAGTGGCAATGATGCCAAGAGTCTTTGGGTGCCAGTCCACCAGTTTGTCTAAAACCATTTTTAAGTGGTTTGACAATAACAGGGGTTCTTCAGGCTCCTAAAGTGCATCCCTTCTGCATGGTGGTCAGAGTGCCTTTAAAGATATATTGAAGTCACAACTATACATTTATGTACATGACTCAATTGCTTATCAACAAATAAAACTTACCTTACAGAATAGCCTCAAACCAACAAAAATAATGAATTTCATATTGCTAGGTAAATTAAGATTTGGAAGATTGTCAAAAACGAACAGCTTAAATGTTATTCGTATAAATATGCAGCACTAGACATTAAATATCAGACAACTGAGCTTACCTCCGTGGTTTTGTCTTTACTTCCATCATCTACAATAATAAATTCATAGCTGTATGAAGGTTGTGCTTTCTGTTAAGCAAAAAAAAAAAAAGGTATAAATTAACTTGTTATAATATAAGGTTAAAAGCAACAGGCGAAGCTTGTACTGGGAACCTACCTCATTATTTCTAACCCTTGTTATCAAGGAAAAGTACAGGGAGATACAGGCTTCCAAACCCCCTCTCTGCCTTCTACTAGTAGTTTATTCTTCTACTTTTCCTCTCTTTTTAAAACACATTCTTTAAAACATTTTTATACCTATCCTTGTGTATCTTAATGGAACACAATTTTGTTAGTAATGCAATGTGTCATAAAAATTAATAAAACCAAAGTTTTACTTACAATTTTCCAGCACCGAGGCTCCATCAGTGCTGCTCGCCTCTCCACCTCCTGCGACATCATCAAAGAGGCATGGACTCCTGCACGACAGTCCAATTGAAAGGCATGGCTCCTTCTCCACGTGCATATCCAAGCTTCCCCATATGAAAGCATTGTATTCAATGCTTTCCTATGGGCTTCTGCGTTATGTGACCAAGTTCCAGCCACCGCACCTCTAGTGGCTCTTTGAAAAACTGCACGGTTTTAGATTGCAGTGTTAAAAGGACAGGGCCACTGCACCTAGACCACTAAATAGAAGTGAAGGGAAACCACTTTAGTGGTTTATAAAAACAACAACAAAAAACACCATTTCTTCGTAGATATTTGTAAACTTGGCTTAAGGAGCACCGTGGGACATACTTCACGAATGCACTCGCTGGATTCCACAAATCAAATTACTGTATTAAATTGCAGCAAAAAGATCAACGTTTCGACCTTTCGGTCTTTATTCATCTTGATAAAGGTCGAAACGTTGATCTTTTTGCTGCAATTTAATACAGTAATTTGATTTGTGGAATCCAGTGAGTGCGCGCATTTTTTTAAATTGAAGATATACATACACACACACACACAAAAATGAAATAGGTTATGGTGGGGGAAAAAGTTGTTATTGAAAACCCCTTCCACAAGTCTGTAGAGTCACTGATGTACAAAAATCTGCACACCAGTCATGCCATAAGACTTGCTTTTCCCACAGAAATCACAAATCTGCAGTGATGTTACTACTGCAAAGGATTCTGGGTGGGCATATGCAAATTAGTTTAACAAAGAATCTAATTTCTGAGATATAGAGATATACACACACACACATATATATATATATATATATATCTATATCTATATCAAGAAACCAAGCAGAGCGGAAGTTTCACTACGAGATTACTATAAATGAGAAGCCACTTCATTAGAATAAAAACATAGAACTTTATTAATTAAGATTAAAAAGGAAAAAACAATACAGACATTGACTCGAGTATAAGCCGAGTTGGGGTTTTTCAGCACAAAAAATGTGCCGAAAAACTCGGCTTATACTAGAGTATATATGGTAATTAGAATTGGAAAAGTATATTTATCCCGGTTTTAAGGGACAAATCCTTTTCAGTCTGGACGGATGCCGCCGTCACATGCGGTTTTGACACCATTTTCAGTAACATATGGATGTGGGGTAACTGGCCAGATGAAATTAAGTATGTCCAGGACTTCACTACCACCTAAAGCCTTATTTGAACTTTTTCCGATAGTGGCCGCCGCAGTCATATGGAGAACATGCTGGTCAAGTAATACGGTCCTATAGACTATGGGCTCGTTTGAGCAGGGCCCTCTTCAACATATCGTTCCTGTAAGTTTTCTTGTTATTGTCCTATTTATAGTTAAATCCCCCCTCTAATAATATTGTAAAGCGCTACGGAATCTGTTGGCGCTATATAAATGGCGATAATAATCATACGTTGTTTTTCCGACAACATGGCAATGTGTCATATTGTTAACAAAGGAGGCTCTTCGTCCCTGACCATCATGCGTTTCATGAGGAAATTGACATGGCCGGTGGCGAAGCATGAATTCTTCCTTACATGTATACATATTCCGGGGGTCCTGAATATCGCAGCTGATCATTTGTCTCAATCTCAGTAGTTTCGGACAGCACTGTCAACAGCAGACTTAGTAGCCACTCCGGCTCCACAGTGGCAGGACATGGTTATGGATTAGATAATTTACTTGCTCACGGGCGTCACCTCGCACACCTAGGTCTTTCTGCAAACACGAGGAAATCCTATGATAGGGCTTTTCACATTTTCTATAGATTTTTGCTGGAGTTTCATATCACGGACAAGTTCTCCAGGGAAACATTGGTAGCATTCATCTCTTTTTGCCATCTGCACCTAAAGCTATCCTTCAACACCATTAAATTAAACATTACTGGGATCAAACACTATATCCTCACCACATGGCCTGATAGACAACGCTTCCTGTCATCCTTCTAGACTACCCCTCCACGATCACATGTTCCAATCAAGTTCAGATCTCCTAGATGCATCACCATTCAAGATCCAGACAAATCACATTAAAATGGTCATTTATTAAGCATTCTTTCTCTAGAGAATTCACCACCACCAACTCTAACTCAGCTGACTTCGTCACCAAAGCACACGACCACTACATACTTTCACTAAAACACACAAAAACTGGTGGAAAGGGTGAGGCAGTAAAAATCACATATTACCCCCACAGGCAATCAATAGTGCCGCATCAAAGTCTTGGACCATTACCTTTCCTACAATCAAAATACCCCTAATAAACCACTTTAAAAGGACTGTGTCATTTTGTTATGATATCTCTTTTGCCCTCTTTATTTCAGGCCTACCGCATTGTCTGTTCCGGCACACCACAACCGACTTTCCTGTATGTCTTATTCCCCAAACTCTACGGCTCTTGAGGCCCTAAACACAAATCGAACACTGGGCCTCAAGTTGTGGGATGGGCCTGGTTTCTCTTCTTAAGGAGCACCAGTCCCCTCCTCACTACCATCTCAGGTCTGGAGATTTGCCCCACTCACCACTCCACTTCTCTTCTCTTCTATCTTTATATAAGGTAGGCCCTCTTTATTTTAGGCCTACCGCATCGTGTTCCGGCACACCACAAAAACACACACACACTGAATTAAACACAAACTTTGCAAATGCAAGAGCCTAAAAGGAGATGTTTTACACATGTATTTAATGTATTGTCTAAAAAATAATGTATTACATATTTGAGTCAACAATAGAATGGACTGCTCAAATAAATGAGACTTCCACATATATACAAATCATCCCCTTACTTGTTGGATAGGAAATGCTTCATGGGATTACTAATGAGATTACTAATCAATGCACTCATTTCAACCTCATCTATAAAGAATTACTCCGAGCTTAACTTCAGCTTTAAGGGGCACTATAGGCACCTCAGCTCATTGAAGTGGTTTGGGTGCAGTGACCCTGTCCCCTTAACCCTGCAATGTTAATTATTGCAGCTTCTGAGAAACTGCAAGAATTAAACTGCAAGATTAAGACTGCCTCCAGTGGCTCTCAGAGAGCCAATTGAGGCACTTCCTGCTTACTTGTCGACTTTTGGTCACCTGACATGCATGAGGACATCCAGCATCAGTTAAATGCCACTGCGTTTGCAGCACTTGCATAGTAGTCAGGAGGTGGAGTGTGTGACCCAGCACCGAGGGAGATTGCGCTGGAATCGGGTAAGTACAGTAAAAAAAGCTCAGACATGAAGAAGTGAGATTATACACAAACAGAAATAAGTAAAGCCTCTATTTACACCCACCTGTCTCTTTTGCAGAAATTCCAGAGCTTCAGCCATCATAACTGGTACTGAAAAAAAACCATACACCAAATGAAACATTATTCAGCTTGCTCTGATATGCTATCAGCCAACTAGTACAAAGTCACTCTTGCCATGTGGTCTTTCCCAATAGTTGACAGACTGTACAGTTTACAGTTAAATATAACTAATTATTTGCAAAGGTCAGCAGAATAATATTGTTTTAGGAGGAGAGGATGGATGAGTGCCTAGGGACATAACTATTACGATACGTTATGTCTTTACAACCCACTGATGACAATTTACATATTTAAAGATGTAATCAAGGAAAAGAACAAAACATTTTATTCACACAGACTAATATCTGAATACATTTTATCTTTCTGGAAATACAGCCTAACAAGTAAGGTGATAGCAATAAAATATTAGGAGATATGAACCCTATTAAATGTTCATGTCAGCAATATTATATGATTACGGATTTTCTCTCTCTCCCCCTCTTTTTTTTTTAAGGAATTAGATCCAGTGGCAAACAATAACTGCACCAAGGTATATTTCAAACTGAATATTTTACAGTAATTAGATAAATATGGTAGCAGGTTTATTGGACACAAACTTCCTATACACAAAGAATAAATGAGACACATGATGTAGATCGTTATCACACTTACATCGGGTTTCTTCATTGTATGAAGGGACTACAACAGTAAGATCTTTTGTAGGGGTATCATGTATACTAGGAAACCGTTCTTTAGCACCATTGTCGGAAATAAAATACTTCTCTTCCTCAGACCGGTGGAGATTTGGCATTTTCTTGGCAGTTACATGGGCTATGATAATAATCTGCAAATAGATAGTGAATATGTTGGCAATATAAGATTAGTGGAAAGGCACCCACATGCATTTTATAATACAGGATAGTAAACACAAAATGTATATTCTAGTTTATGACTATAAATGTATCGGTAGTAGAAAAGGAGATTTAAATACTAAAAGCAGAGCAATCATTAAAGGGACACTCATTTTAAGGTAGTGGTTTTGGTGCAGAGACCCTGTAAGGATGCCGCTAGAGGCATTTCCTGGTGAACACGTTTAAGAATTTAAATTCTTCATGTTGTATGCTGCAATGCTTCTTAAGGAGCAGCACTGGATTCAATGCTTCTCTTTGAGAAGGATCTGTTTGGCTGAGCTCTAATGCTTCAGGATCCTTCGGCCATATACATTCACCTAAGGTCAGACAGTGTTTGAAAACTGATCGTCTCTATGATCTTCCCTGCTTTACTTCCTGCACAGATGCAGGGAAGACCATAGAGACTCTCAGGTTTTGAATACTGTCTGACCAAAGGAAAGTATGTATGGCTGAAGGATCTTTTTATATACTAAAAGTAGGGATTTAAAAGTATTTTTTTCTCATAACCCCACGCTAGACTCCATCTCTGATAAAACTGGAAGCATACCTAAGTTTACATTTATGTTTCTATTGCGTCATACTTTGTGTTCTTTCCTAATAATTAAAAATATTCTGCCTTTTCCCAATTGGGTATAATGGAGACAGGCCCAATCTAAACAACTTAAGCGTTTCAAATTTAGTAATCGGCATTATTCAGTCTATTCAGCAAAGTATGAGGTTCCAGTATCTCCTGTTCTGCAGGATATTTAGTGGGTATGTATAGTTTCATCACCCTTGGAGACTGAGAAAGCGACACATCAGGAGTTCTAACATAGTTTAGAAATCTAGTAGGGGGCAGTAACAGGAGTTCAATGAACCTTTCCAATCAGTTTTGGTATCATTTGAAACTCTGCATTTTTTAGATCTGCCACAACAGAAAATCTGTTTGATCGATTCCGAGAAACATGAGGGTTTAATTGAAATGTAAGAATGTAAATTAATCTGACTATTCAGTTCTGAGTTAGGTTCCAATACCTCCTATTGTGCAGGATAGTGTAAGCGTATGCATAGTTTCATTAGCCATGGAAATAGAGGATAAATCAGTAGTTCTACTATGTTATAGATGTATCAAGGGTGTGTGGACAGTAGGATAAACCACACTAGAGTGATTTTAAAAACATCCCTTATGTGCAATAGTGTGTAGAAGTGTGAGTTAGCCTTTGTTACATTGTTCTAATTTCCATACTGCGGTTACATATTGCACTATTTTTCTCTTTTACATACTTGATACTGCACAAAGAAAATCCAATATATTATTCTCGTCTATTGTCACAAGGTTTTGGGAACCCTTGTATAATTTACTGCTGCCCCTACTTACATGAATTTACCTCACCTATAAGATGTCAATTTACTGCTAACCAGACTGAGAAACACATCCTCCTCCCTCGCCAGCCTCTTAGAGTCTCTGTAAGTTCTCCCACATGACTTGTAACCAAGCCACCAACTACCACCACACTCAGCCATACCACCCACAGCAGGAAACCACAACGAGAAGAGCTAAACTCCCATGAGACAACTACAATACTAAAACCTTTTGCTGGGATTAGACCAAAAGCCCAGTGCATTGCATTAACCCTTGAAAAAGGTTAGTGAATAAAAATATACTCATTAGCAAGTAACTTTAATTTAATCAAACAAGTTAGGAAGACTATCAAAGCATAGACTAAGCCAGGGATAGGCAACCTTCTGCACTTCTGTTTTGGACTACACCTCCCATGATGCTTTGCCAGCATTATGGGTGTAAGAGCATTATGGGGGATGTAGTCCACAACATCTGGAGTGCCAAAGGTTGCCTATCCCTGCACTAAGCATTGTTTTATAAAGGAAATAGTGTACATCTCTATTGACTACTAAGGGGAAATGATTTTATTTTTTAACATTAAAACAGATAAGCTGATCTCATCTAGCAAAATATAGCCCTCTAGTTGTTTTGGACTACAAATCCCATGATGCTCAGCCAGACAGATTTCTGGTAAAGAGTGACAGCTGCTCTGAGAGTTTTTTTTGCCTGGACTGCACTCACCAGCACGACAAGCAGGGCTGCCAGGGCAGCGAGGAGCTGGATAACTTCACACAGACAGGGCTGCATGTCCACACCATGCCTGTCTCCCTCCCACAGATAACTAATGGCCAGCACTAACCCTGGGCTCAGCACTTCCGGTCTGAAGCAAACACACAGTAACTGCAGCTGCCGGAACCTATTGCACTCAAACACCTATGCGGAAGTATTTTCCTGAGGCCACACATTCGAATCTCAGCAAAGCATGAGCCCCAACCGTTGGAGAGCGTCACCGCGTGGCTGGAGGTCGTTACTGCTCCCTGATTATCCTGGACACATTGTCTTCACCTACATTCTCTGCAGCGTTCCAATGGCAGGGTTAACCCTGTGAGTGCCAGACAGGGAAGAGCTCACTATATTGTTTTGCCATGTGCTGCTGTGCATGACTTGGTTCAGGACTGATGGCTGTCCTTCTGGCTATTTAGCTACAGAGGATTTGCACTTCTCCTGGTGTCATTGAAAGCCACCATGTTGGCTGGGAGTCATGGGCACTGTTGTCCATAATAGGCTGGAGTGTTTGAGAATTGGCTTAACCATCACTGTAATAGGGTTTTCTGAAAACAGCTGCTTTCAAAGGTCCAGATAAATAAATAAAAAAAACCTTAAAAAAAACAAAACAAAAAACAAACCTCTGGTCTGCAGTGGCATGGGTTCTCCTTTTTTGCTTTGGTAAAAGTTTTGGAGTCTGATACAGTAAGATCAGACAAATCATTAAATCCAACCATAGCACACAGTACTGATGTGTGCCTGCTACAATCTAAGCACCAGATGTACAGTTTGAGGCTGATTATCTTAACTTTTTTCTAAAACTCAGACACATCCAGCAGCCATTGATAAACAGCCCATTGCTGTGTACTGGTAGTAGCCCCAGCTCCCTGGCAGTGAAAGGGTTAATGATGCTGAGATAAGATGCACATTATGGGCCATTCAACTCACACAACACATTTTGATGTCTTTCTGCCTTTGGCTGCATTACCCTCATGCGGCCAGCAGGGGGAGCTTGATGAGAGCATGGCCGCCTTCGCATAGGATGTTTTCACATGTTTCTATGCAGCACATGTGCAACAGAATAGCCACTTCCTCTGTTCATATACAGCTCAGAGGGGATCCTGTGTGTGTGACTGCACTTACTGGCCCAGTAGCCAGCATTGCTCCTTTCTGGATTACCCTGACCACAGGCTGGAGGCAGAGGCATGGCTGCTGGATTCAAGTGAGTTTACAGGTTTCAGTGTAGTCTGGGGGGCTGGTTTTTATGGCCATTCCAGACATACAGTCTTAGTCTGGATACTGTAATACCCCCCCCATGAGGGTTTGTACTGAAAGACCCCAGGAATGGAGCCAGGGAGCTGTGACTCCTGAAAAAATGGAACACTGGCTGCTGCTAACTTGTTACAACTATTTTACATTGAATTTGATGAGCACAATACTAAGGATAAAAAACTGGCACATGAATTCTAGAGAGCAGCGTCCTTCACAACAGATTATTGTTGTTTTATTTGCAAAACAGAATAGGAACAGACTTTTGACTAATTTAAAAAAACGATTTCCTGTCTAGAAGTAAGGCTTTAGTGATGGTTTTGTTTTAGCACAAAACTACCTGTCATTCCAGATTGTTAGCTATGAGATACCTCTGCAAAAAACAAACAATTGCCCATGAGTTACAGTTCCCTGCAAATATAGTTATTTGTTGATATATGGTTATTTTTAGTTATATAGTTATTTGTTGATATGCCTAGACATATGGCAACATCAAAGCTAAAAAAAGTGAATCTGGAAAAATCCTCTAGTCACAGCCTGGTTATTGTAGTCTCAATTTTGACATTCGAACTTAAAGGACCACTCTAGGCACCAGGTCCCTCTAGGATTAACCCCTTTTTTTTTTTTTATAAACTTAGTTTCAGAGAAACTGCTATGTTTATAATTGGGTTAATCCAGCCTCTAAAGCCTCTAGTGGCTGTCTCATTGACAGCCGCTAGGGGCGTTTGCGTGCTTCTCACTTTGAAAATCACAGTGAGAAGATGCAAGCGTCCATAGGAAAGCATTATGAATGCTTTCCTATGAGACTGGCTGAATGCGCGCACAGCTCCTGCCGCGCATGCGCATTCAGCCGGAGAGGAGGAGGAGAGCTCCCCGCCCGGCTCTGGAGAAAGAGGTAAGTGTTTACCCTTTCCTCTCCCCAGAGCCCGGCAGGAGGGGGTCCCTGAGGGTGGGGAGTATGTTTTCCTGGCACTATAGTGGTCCTTTAAAGGAACACTTCACACTCCTAAACGCTAAGGTATTTTAGGGGTTTATACATGGCTTGACAAATTTGCTTTGAATCTAGGAGCCAGTGTTTTTTTTTAAACTAAGAAAGCTTTATTAAGCTAATATATGGTATAAAATACACCTAGTAGTGGAGCGCTATATAGGTGCAACTTTTTTATTTATTTTTTTACTTACCCCACAAATTAGGTAATATAGTGAATATCAAATACATAAAAGACAAAAAAGAAAGGACAAAAGATAGTGTAGATGGTCTAAAAACCACAATAGATTATAGATAAGGCTAAAAACCACTCACATGTAACGGAGTCTATAAATTATTGGCTCCGTAAGATGAACTTTTATGCTCTTAAGGCAGCATCAAACCTCTTCTTCTGTAACGTCTCCTCCAATGGGGATATAAAGAGAGAAGCAACCAATGTGTAGTATTTTAGCTTACAAAAAACCTTAAAGACATAAAATAGGTATTAAGCTCACCTTTTTTTAGAGTCTTCAACTCCTGGCTCTAAGGGTAACAAAAGGGTGCCAATTTTCTGGGGATGGCACTACCCCAATGAAGATTCTTAAAGTGACACTGTAGGCACACATACCACTTTAGCTTATTAAAGTGGTCTGGGTGCAAACTCCCGTCACCCTTAACCTTGAGCGTAATTATTGCAATTTTTATAAACTACAGTAATAACCTGCTATGATTAACTCCTCCTCTAGTGGCTGCTAGAGGGACTTCCGGGTTGTTAGGCGACTTTTGGTCGCCTAAACGACGCTGGACGTCCTCACGCTATGCATGAGGAATTCCAGCATCGCCAAAATCCCCATTAGATAATGCTTTCCTATGGGGAAATTCTAATGCAAGTGCGGCCATTGCTGCACATGCGCATTAGGTCTCCCCCCGCTGGCGGACGTCGGAGGGGAAGGATTGTGGGCAGTGCGACCTAGTATGTACGCCAGTTTGCCAGCCTCTTCTCCTGGGGGGCCCAGGAGCTGGCCACCTCATGGCCCCTCGAGGCTGGCAGTGGCGTCACTTGGCGGGCGCGCAAGGGAGCATTCTCCCCTGAGAATATGATGTCATTCCGGCTCCGGCATCAGTAAGTGGCGCGCGAGGGAGCTGAACAGGAGGATCAGTGCTCCCTCGCGCGCCCGCAGTGACCGGCTACCCAGCAGCACCACTGGACCCCAGGGAATCCCCTCAGCATTTCCAAAGGTAGGGAGGCTGGGGGATGCAATTTAAAAAAATAAAAATAATTAGTATGTGTGTCAGTGTGTGTTTGTGTGTGTCTGTTATTGAGTGTGTGTCTGCTAGTGAGGGTCAGTGTGTGTGTGTTAGTGTGTGTGTCTGTTACTGAGCGTGTTAGTTTGTGTGTCTGTTATTGAGTCTGTGTTTGTCAGAGAGAGTGTATGTTTTGTAAGTGAGTGTGTATGTGTGTCTGTCTGTCAGTAAATGTGTGTGTCTGTTAGCTAGTGTGTGTGGTCAAAACCCCTTCAGCACTTACCTTTCTCCAGCGCCAGGTTCCCTCGGCACTGGGGATCTCTCTGCCCCGATCTGCCTCTCAGCTCCGAATTTGCGCATTCAAACCGCCCATAGGAAAGCATTACTCAATGCTTTCCTATGGACGTCCAGGGTCTTGATAATCGCGGAAGTGCCTCTAGCGGCTGTCAGTGAGACTGCTACTAGAGGCTGGATTAACCCTCAGTGAAACTTCTATGTTTTCAGCTGCAGAGTTAAAACTAGAGGGATCTGGCACCCAGACCACTTCATTGAGCTGAAGTGATCTGAGTGCCTATAGTGGTCCTTTAAGTGTATGTATCTGCATACAGTGGTGTACATACCGTGGTCACAGGGGTCGCAGCCGTGCGACCCCTGTGACCAGGTGCCCGCCGCCATGTGTTGCTGCCCCGACCGCGCAGAGTAAGCGCGTGGAGGGGGGGCATGGATCAATTTTCGGACAGGTGCCCCATGGATTGTGTGTACGCCACTGAATTCAATGCATCTCTATAAGTAGATGCTGATTAGCAAAGCGTTTTGCCGCACTTGCGCAATAGCCTCACAATGTTTTCCTGGGAAAGCATTAGATTAGATTGGCAGAGATCATCAAGATTGATGATCTCAGCCATGGAGACAGGGCTAGCCACTGCAAGACTGGCACGGCATTGGGGGAAAAAGGAGCGTACAAACACCTTTCCATGTAATCAGAGGGGGGCTGTTCACCTAAACACACACATATTCACTGACAGACACAGCCACTTACTGATTTGACACACACTCACTGATACGGACACACCCACGGATACTGACACTCTCATACACATAATATCACACACTCACAAATTCTTGTTATTTTATTTTTTTTCATTTTACATCCTCCCAGCCTCCCTACCTTGGGGAGAACTGGAGTGGATACTTTTTCTGGGATCCAGTGTGGCTTGTGTCATCTTACTGCTCTTCTTGCTGTGCTCCCTTGGCACTGTTTAGTGATGCTGGGGCCTGAGTGACATCATATACCGGCTCCGATCATCATAGCAGGACGCGCGAGGGAGCAGCGCAAGAAGAACTTAAAGATTACAGGTCCAGTACCGCCTTCATTCTCCCGCAGGCGCAGATCGGCTGACAAACGCCCAGGCGCCAGGACAAAATTCCTAGGCACCATAGTGACCTGACTTCTGGGATTTGTCGAGCCCTGGATTAATAGATTAATAGAAATCAGTATTTTTATAAAGTGACATAGTTACACCTCCGTAGCTGTCATCGGACAGGCAGGAGCGTAATCTTCCAGCACAAAGTAGAGTAGATGGATTAGAGGTAAGTTAACCCTTTATTTTGGGGGAAAAGGGGCAAGATAATCTAGTCTGACAATGCAACACTCCAGCATTATACATAAATGCATTTATTTATAATGCTGGAGTGTACCTTTAAGGGGTTACTCCAAGCAACAATGACCACTGCAGTGATTTGAAGCGGTCATGGTGTTTGGAGCCTTTATGTGCAGCACCGACGAAGGAGGCCTCTACGTGTGGTCGAATGTAAGCTTTCCTCCCTACCTTCCTTCCTCGAGGTGAGGGGGGCATGCTATTTAAAATCAAAATAAATTGCCATTTAAGAACAGTTTGGCCTTTACATATCTCTGTCTGGTACCCATGCTGCTGCTGATCTGAGCTGGTTCTCACTCCTGCATTATCATAACAAGCTTGGAAATAATTAATTGGCTGAAAGTGCTAGCCGATTCATATTATTATACTAACTCATACCATACAAGTATGAACTATTGCTTTGCCATAGTGGCTCAAAATGAAAGCCATGGCAGAGACAGGTAAGTACCAATAAAATGAAAGATAAGTGTGTTTACACAAGCCAAAAAGGCATAATAGTATTAATTAAGAGCCAACACGTTGACAGAGGTGTCATACTCTTCTTAAATGGTTTTGCAATTTACTGCCAGGCTGTGCCAGGGGACTTCTGGCACAACAACCCAACCAGTCCAGGGCGCTGTAGTGGCTATGATGCTTAGACTGTTCTGTTGAGAATCAACATATCCTTTTTTCTTTCTTACCCCCAGAACAGTGGAACCCTTGGAATATTACAGAAAATTTCTGGTGAGTAAAAATATGGCTTCAGCTCAACTTTTCACAAAATAACCATTGTAATGCTTGTAACATATCCTAGAAATGTCTAGCTCAAGAGGGCCATTTGAACAGGGTTGCCCAAAGGGTATATACCCAGATGTTGTAGAGCTAAAACATGATGCCAGCCTTTAGAATATCAAAGCATCATCAAAGCTCTAGTTACAAAACATCTGGAGATTTACCTTTTTGGCACCCCTGCCTTAGAAGGTTAGATTAACAGCACTCGTATTTACACAAAGTTTAATGATAACTATTCAGGCAGGATTTTAATGCAGATCGCATAATATAATATAAAATTATTTCCGTGCTGGATCTCCATTTTCCTCAGAATATATTTTTCGCCGCAAAGATTTCTTAGTTTTCAGTTATATTGAGATAATGCATCATACAGTATTATATGTTTAAAACAAATGTATAAAAAAATCAAGAGAAGAGTTAAAGAGAGAGCTATTTATGTTGGAAAATTATTTATTGGCACTGGTAAATGTGTCTCTCCTACTCAGCTTAGTTGGGCTATAGAGCAGAAAGAACATTTAAAGGGACACTATAGTCACCAACACAACTACAGCTTATTGAATTTGTTCTGGTGAGTAGAATCATTACCTTCAGGCTTTTTGCAGTAAACACTGTCTTTTCAGAGAAAATGCAATGTTTACATTACAGCCTAAGGATAACTTCACTGGCCACTCCTTAGAAGGCTGCTAGAGTTGCTTCATGGGGCAGTGCCACTGCCATTCAGTGTCTCCACCCTCTGCATGGAGACACTGAACTTTCCTCATTGATTCAGTGCATCTCTATGAGGAGATGCTGATTGGCCAAAGCTGTTTTTGGCTTGTGCTGGCTCTGCCTCCTTGACAAGCTTATCCAATCCAGTTGGAAAGCATTGTGATTGGCTGAGATCATCACTTCTGATGCCATCGGATGGGGGGGGTGGGTAAAGCTCATGTGCGGCGAGAGATGCAAGTACATTTACCCCTCATCATAGGAAAGCATTGCTCAATGCTTTCCTGTGGGGATTTTACTGACTCTGGATGTCCCCATGCAGTGTGTGAGGACGTCCAGTGTCAGGCGACCAAAAGTCGCCCAACAAGCAGGAAGGACCTTTAGTGGCTGTCTGATAGACAGCCACTGGATGCAGTCTTAGTCCTGCAATGTAATTATTGCAGTTTCACAAAAACTGCAATGATGTATATTGCCGGACTAAATGGGACAGGGACACTGCATCCAGACCACTTCAATAAGATGAAGTGGTCTGGTTGCCTATAGTTTCTCTTTAAGATTAGAGGCATATGATGGAATATGCTATAAAGAAAGATGGAGGGGGGTGAGTTAGTGATAGCAACATTTTGGAAATGTTTGTTCAGGGAAGCCAAAGTGCAGGTATGAGTCTGGAAAAGCAAGGAATGCAAAGGATTCACAAATATGCTTTTCTATAGGGAATGAGGGTGATGCAAGAATTTGGTTTGGGCTCCCTATAGTACAAGGGTGGCCAAAAGGTATTCATCATTTGCCCATCCTTACTAGGTTGTATTTGTGAGCGGTTTGTGTTCCTGAATAAAGGCATGTTTTTGTATGGAGTATGTGTGTGAATGTAGGGGTGTATTTGTTTGTACAGTTGCCATTGGAATGAATAGTGTACTTCTTTGCAATGTTTGCATTTGAATGCATAGGTGTGTTTGTATGCAGTTTTGGCTTTTGAATGTAGATGTGCCTTTGTGTGTAGTTTGGTATTTGAATGCAGGAGTGTTTGTATATAATTTTCACAATATAGTGCAGGGTATGTTTGTATGTAATGTTTGCGTATGGATGTAATGTTGGCTTTTAAGTGCAGGTGTACATTTGTGTTTAGTATTAATGTTTGAATTAAGTGGTGTGTTTGTATATACTTTTGGCGTTTGACTGCAGGGGTTTGTTTGTAATGTTTTCGTTTGATTGCAAGGGTGTATTTGCATGTAGTGTTGTTTAATTGCTGAATGTATGCCTGCCTACATACATACTTACACAGATAAACATACAGATTGACACATAAACACACGAATGTATACACACAAAGACAAACGCATACAAAACACACTGACACAGTTATACATATACACACACTGAAGCATATGCATGTGTGTGTATGTGTCAGTGGGTGTACAGTTGTGCTCAAAAGTTTGCATACCCTTGGAGAATTGGTAATGTATGTACCAATTTTAAAGAAAACATAAGTGAGCAGGCAAAACACATTTCTTTTATTTCTTATGGGATTCATATTCAACTGAAGGTTGTAACAACAAAACATGGCAACAAAGAAAAAAATGAAATGACCCATGTTCAAAAATCTGCATACCCTTAGTTCATAATACTGTGTATTGCCCGCTATAGCATCAATGACAGCATGCAGTCTTTTGTAATAGTTGTCTATGAGGCCCCTAAGTCTTGCATGTGGTATAGCTGCCCATTCGTCTTGGCAAAATGCCTCCAGGTCATGCAAAGTCGTTGGTCGTCTTGCATGAACCGCACGTTTGAGATCTCCCCAGAGTGGCTCAATGATATGAAGGTCAGGAGACTGTGATGGCCGCCCCAGAACCTTCACCTTTTTCTGCTGTAACCACTGGAGGATCAACTTGGCCTTGTGCTTAGGGTCATTGTCATGCTGGAAAGTCCAAGAGTGTCCCATGCACAGCGTTTGTGCAGAAGAATGCACATTATCTGCCAGTATTTTCTGATAACTTGTTTCACAGTGGGAATGGTATTCTTTTCACTATAGGCCTTGTTGATCCCTCTCCAAACATAGCGCTTATGATTAGAGTGTGCCAGAAGCTGTGAGATGTGTCGGATATATTGTAATTGGGCTTTTTGTGGCATTGGCGCAGTAAAGGCTTCTTTCTGGCAACTCGACCATGCAGCAAATTTTTGTTCAAGTATCATTGTATTTGGCTCCTTCAAACAACCATGCTGTCTTTTTCCAGAGCAGCCTGTATTTCTCCTGAGGTTACGTGTCAGCTTTTCTTTGTATCCCAAAAAATTATTCTGGCAGTTCTGGCTGAAATCTTTCTTGGTCTACCTGACCTTGGCTTGGTATCAAGAGATCCCTGAAGTTTCCACTTCTTAATAAGTGAGATTGAACAGTACTGACTGGCATTTGAATATCTTTTTATATCCATTTCCATCTTTATAAAGTTCCATTACCTTGTTATGCAGGTCTTTTGACAGTTCTTTTCCGCTCCCCATGGCTCAGTATCTAGCCTGCTCAGTGCATCCATGTGAGAGCTAACAAACTCATTGACTAATTTATACATAGACACAGGTGTGGGGAATTAACCTTTAATTGCCATTTTAACCTGTGTGTGTCACCTTGTGTGTTTGTAACAAGGCCAAACATTTAAGGGTATGTAAACTTTTGATCAGGGCCATTTGGGTGATTTCTGTTATCATGATTTTAAAAGGAGCCAAACAACTATGTGAAAATAAATGGCTTTGTATGATCACTATCCTTCAAAAAAAAAGCCAATTTTTTTGCATGATCAGTCATTTTCAAAATCAATTGCAATTTTACTTTCTATGATTTAAAAAAAAAAAAAAAAAATGTATTTTACAGAAGGAGAACTGCCGCCCAGATGGCAGAGAACTAAGTGAATTTAGGACGACAACAATAAATGTTGGTAAGTATTTTTATAGTGTGATAGAACTATTACAGAAAGGAATGGGCAATGACAACCATTTTTCACAAGGTCTAATAATATCTCCTTTTGTTCAGTACTGTGATGATTAAATGGATGCAAATTATGGCCTTTGCATTAGTTTAATGGCCCACGATTAAATTCTAGAATTGCCTAATTCTTCACTTGCAATATGATGCGCAATAAAACTAATATACCCTGGGCATTTTCTGGGGATTCGGTCAGTGTTAGATGCCTGTTCTTCATAGTATGGAGAGCCAATTTTGGATCACGACACAATGGGTGAGACCCACTAATTCAGAGAGAGGGTTTGGAGACTATGTTTGAGAAGTGCAATAATAATAATAATAATAATAATAATAATAATAATAATAATACCTTGCTTTGTCTGATCTATTCTTAGATCTTGTTTAACCCCTTAAGGACACAAGAAATTGTCCAAGTTCTGAACCAAAACAAAACCTAGAATTTGTACCATGTGCTTGTTTCATTTAACTGTAGTTTAAGGGTTTCTCTTTAATTGTCTTTGTACTTATTATATATTGTTTTTTGAAAGGACAGAAAGGGCTTTCTTTTAATATCCTATATGTATAGCTAAGACAACAGTAAGTGTAAATACAATGTTAAAAACTGTTTTTCATAGTTTTGCTTATAATAATTTTTACACACCCAGTGCAACTAAATAGTAGCTAAAAATAACATTCACGTCTCAGTCCCGATTGTTAAATACACAAAATATCTAGGATCTAAATACATTTTTAGTAGTTAACACTAATACTATACCAACTCTACCCATAATCCTATGCTTACTCTAATGCTAACTGTATACTTAACCTATCCCTAACTTTAAAACGGCATTAAACCTTACCTTACACTAACCCTACAAACTAACCTTAAGGAAAATATTCTCATCATGTCAGTACTGATATCATCAGATTGGTTTCCTAGTTAAAGCAGAGAGTGATATGTTGCTGCAATCTACTGGACGTTTTCAGTATTGCAGGGAGAGTTTCCTGTAATACTGAAATCAAGCCTGATTTTCCAGGCGATTTCACTATGGTACCTTAGTAACTATCAAGGCCAGCTCCAATCACAATCGGACTTAAGGTATGCAGGGAGTCTGTAGAGACTTAGGGGGTCTCCTTTCAGTATGTAAATCACTGCAACTGAGGGCAGTCTGCTCCGCTGTGTTTTTTTTTTCAGAGAATTTAAAGGACTATATGCTATTGCTGCCTAGCTATTAATGCCTGGACTCAATGGTGTTTGCATGGATATAACCCTACTCACACGAAAGGCTGGGTCAATACGTCTTGACATTGTTAAAGCCCAGAATAGTTAGTATATATTCTGGCTCCATATTTCACATATTATTATTATTATTATTATTATTATTATTATGTTATTTATATAGCGCCATCAAATACTGCAGCGCTTTACAATGGGTGGACGAACAGACATCTCCCGATTGTATGATTATGGTGACCACAAGGCAAATGTACCTCCGCATAATATGTGCAAGATTTCTAAATCAAGTTAACGTCATTTTAAAAATGCAGGTGGCCTATAAAAAGGTTAGTTGTATATGGTTTTCTTTAAATATTTTTTTATTTTATTATTTAATGTCGAGGGAACATAGGGAAAAAAGCACCAGTAATGAATATACTAAAGCATACCGTGAATATTCCACATCTTCCTTAGCTTGTTGCATTTCTCTATGTATTAAATCATCTCTAATCTGTCCATCTAGGCTTTGAACAGAATCCTGTATAAGTGTTAATTTGGGTTTGGATATTCGTTATCCAACCATAGAGCGTTTTCCCATTTATTATACTGAAGCAAACAGGTTTAAGAATTTAAAAGGACACTATAGTCATCAAAACAACTACACCATAATGTAGTTGTTCTGGTGATTATAGTATGTCCTTGCAGGCATTTTCATGTAAACACTGCCTGGGTCACGTTAAGCGTCTCCACACTCTGCATGGAGATGCTGAACTTTCCCCATAGAGATACATTGATTCAATGCATCTCTTTGAGGAGATGCTGATTGGCCAGAGTGATGTTTGGCTCCTCCCACCTACTTCCCCCTCCTTGGCTGAGATCATCAATACTGATGATGTCAGCCAAGATGGAGGTTGTGGGTGGGGCCACTCAATAGGCACTGAAATAAATGTGTTTTCTAGTTATGTAAGTGGGTTATGGACATCTAAACACTATAGGGTCAGGAATACATGTATGTGTTCCTGACCCTATAGTGTTTTTTGAAGGCCAAAGTAGAAAGGCTTGCGTTTCCTCCAGGTGAATACATTTCGTACTAAGTACCCATAACACTAAGCTAAAACACATTTGTGGATTCCAGAATATGCTTTGATCTCTCTAGATTTTAAACCTTTTATTGTTCATGTTCGTATGAAGCTGTCCTGTTTTGATGCATTAAATCTAATTATAGGTTCGATCACCACAGCAGATGGCTCTGCTTTAGTGAAGCTTGGGAACTGCACAGTAATATGTGGCATAAAAGCGGTAAATAACAATTTTTCATTTATAAATTCTGGGTGTGTGAAACAGTTTGTACTGTGAAACTAAAGAGTTGGGCTTATTTACTTCTCCTGAGACACATCTTTTGAGCATGGAAGTTGGCAATGGTAGAAGACCGGTCTTTGGTTGTTTTTAGCACCATTATATGACTATTATTATTTTTAAACTGGGTTTCTTCTAACAAAATTAATTAAAATGAAACATAGTAGAAACTGAAGTATTAGTGCAGATATCCAGCTGCTTTGTAGGTTCTGTTTGTAAATTAACATCAGCATGTAATATGCTATTGACATTATTAGTTGTTTTTTTTTTTTTTTTCTTCAAACCTTTTTATGTTTTTTTTTTTTTTTGCAGGAATTTGCAAACCCCCTTGCAGATGCTCCAGATAAGGGCTACATAGGTATGTAAATAATAGTTAGTATGTGAGAATACGTGCCAGATTGTTCACCAAGTCACACGTGGGAAATATCAAAGGATCTACAAACGCTAGTCCTAAATAGAAGAGACAGAGAATTTTTTTTTGGCTTAAGATTTGTAAATTCCTTTGTCAACCCCCCACAATTTCTAGTTTAATGAACAACCCTGACTCGCTGGAATTTTAGCAACTATTTGTCAGGTGTGAAAAATAAAATTAAATATAGAATTCCACACAACTTTATCCTACATGGGTGCCTCAATCTTCACTCTCTGTCAATCATTGTTATAAGATCTATCCTTTGCACATGGTGGTCAGCATAGAGAAGGCAAGAAAAGAAAAAAAAATTAAACAATGTTTCTGTTGCTCCTTCTCAGTTGCAATCTTTGTCCAGGCTTTGCCTTGTCTGTACTCGAATATGGTCTACTTTTCTAAATCCTTAATAAAAAGTAAAAAAAAAGGGATGCCAGGGATACAGTGCTGTATTTAACCTTGAAACACTAAGTGCATAAGGAACAGTGCACCCAGATCACTCCAATTAGCTGGATTAGTCTGGGTGCCTATAGAGTCCCTTTAACACAAGTTATATATTGTTTTCTTTCTTTTTCTTTTTTTAATTCAGTGGTGTAATTCCAGAGAAGTGACTGTCCCCTCTTTAGTTACTATTATTGTTTACATTCCCCTTGTTACTTACCGGGTATATAATCCACTTATTAAATATAACACATATAATCTCCTTTATACCTTAAAACCAGCAAATGGCACGGCTGAATGCTGGCATGTTTGTTATCCAAATATAGGGAGTGCAAGCACTGATACCAAATACTTTATAAAAGTGACCTACTTTCCTTAGGTCAAGGCCACGTGTGTGTGTGTACTTATTGGGTTAACACATTTTCCCAATTCAAAACAATGACTCCCCTGCTCCAATGCCCTATTTAGACACAAGTCTGGAGAATAGCTTTGCGATCTTTTGTTCAGAATGATCAGAACATTCTATTCTGTTCCCGGTGAATGACGATTTCTTTCTGTTCTGATCATTGAGACTACAAAGGGGGTGGATGGAATAGAATCTTTTATTCTACTAATTATATAACTACTTTTTGAATTGCGCCTGATTTACTTTCCGTTAGTACTGGATAGGGATTTGTCATTTTGAAATTATCTCTGTCCCATTAATGGCCTCTATTTAATAAGCTTTCTAAATGATCAAATACCATTAGAGAAAACGTTCCAAATAATTTACCTACATCATTAAGGTCTGTAGAATTTTTTTGGGTAGAGAACTCATTTGGAAAGCTTATTAAATGAAAGCCGATGTTCCTATTTGTTCTACGCCGTGTTTTGTTTGCACATAGAAATCGATATTCTAGTTTTGTGGCATGGAATAATTTAATTCAGGGGTAGATAACCTTCAGCACTCCAGATGTGCTCTGCATTTCTTATAATGTGCTTACAGGTTACAGCCATAAAGCTGGCAAAGCCTCAGGGGTGAAAATGTTAATCACATCTGGAATGCCAAAGCTTGCCTATCCCTGGTTTAGTTTGTAATCCTTATTTTTATTTTATTTTTTTAGAATCTGACTTCATGTAAACTAATGATCATGGCAAATAATGATCATCTGTTTGTGCCAGTATGTGCAAAAACAAAACGGTTCACAAAACAATGTGAGTGAATTGCCCACCAGGATGTATAACAAAAGCTGGTTCGCTTAAACCATGAGATGACAAAATGTTGAATTTCAGCTGTTCTAGAACTACCATGATTCTCTGCCAAGGCTGGGAGTAAAACATGTGGTCATCCTGGTTTAATTCAATTGCCCCAAATGCTGTAGTTTGTGTTTCCCATGAAGTATAATCACCTGGTTGGGCATCCTTGGGAACATAATTTAGTACAGCTGGTCAGCCTTTCAAAAATCCTGTTTTGCGTGCCGTACAGTATTTCAGAGATTTAAAGGAAATGTAGAGATATTTTTTTTAAATTTGAAACAAGATAAAACTGCTTTTTGGTTGTTAATGATCACGGTGCCAACACAGCTGTATGTGTATTTTCAGTTCCCAATGTAGACCTCACACCCTTGTGTTCTTCACGGTTCCGCCCTGGTCCCCCAGGAGATGAAGCCCAAATGGCTAGTCAGTTTGTTGCAGATGTTATTGACAAGTAAGATACTTTTATACATATATTGTGGATGCAAGTTGAGGTGAGTGCTGTCTTTTTCTGCTTTTTTTCCTCAGTTTGTCTATATAAATAGTGAGAGATTGTATGTGTTTGTATGCATTTTTTTTTTATTGCAGTCAAAAAAAAAACTATTCAAATTCCATAACATACAATATGTTTCTGTCCAGTTCACAGATGATCCTAAAAGAAGACTTATGCATTACTAATGGCAAGGTACGGGTACAAAATATATATATATTTGACTTCTCCACTTTTTATGATGTGTTCTCCTACGCTGTTTTAAAGGAACAGTTTATTGTGAAAAAAAATTAAAGTTTATTTATGTAACAATTTACTAGATATACCCCCATTGAAAACGCACATGGATTTGTTGATGCATTTTTTTTTTTACTAGGGATATATCTAAAAATGGCTTGCGAAAGCTGTAGATCTCATCTGAAGCCTTTGCAAGTCCCCCTCCCCCCTCCTTTTGGAGCCCAGACTTCCTGCGGCTGTCCAATTACAGACTTCCTAATGCAGCTCAGTAAAAGGTCTTTGCAAGCGCCCTTGCCTGCCTCATGAGTTTTGCTCTTCTGCGCTCAACTACCAGGAAGTAATAGGACCTGTTTTCTAATTGACAACCTGGGGGTGTAAACAGGTTCATTTAGAAAAGTGTCTCAATTTCTATTGAGATCTGCAATTTTTGTAAACTGAAAAAAGAGGACACATAAAACATTTCAGCAAGCTAGAGTGCTTTAGGTGTTTTCAAATGTTGTTCTAAAGGAACGCGCCAAGCACCATAACAACTTGAATGGAGTGAAGTTATCGTGCCAGAAGGTTCCTGGCAATAACTTACCTTTAGGGGTTAAACTGTTCATGAAGTCCAGTGTCCAGCACCCAATTGCTTGGCACCCTGTAGTCCCACTGCTTAATTTCTTGAAAGAGGAAGCCTCAGACGGGTGCCACTGATTGGCTGAGAGTGTCGGCTGACTTTCTAAGCCAATCAGTAGGCTCCCCATTCACAGTGCGAATTAAGAATTGTATAAATGGATACTGGACTTTGGAGTTAAAGCACTTGTTTAAAATTTTAAAGGTTTGCAAGCTCCAGGGACTTCCTGGCACCATAGCTATTGAATAGCAGTGACATTATTATGCTGCCCATAGTGTTTAACCCCTTGCATGCCCTGGTTGAGTCCCACATCGATTGAATGCTTAATGCAGGGAATTATTTGGGAGCCCCTTAATGTGGACTAGAATCCATTTTTCTTTGTGATCATGTTTAATCCCAAAGACAACTAAAATGTGCGTCACTGGTCTTTTTTTAAATGTGGCCATAGGACATAACAAAAAACTAAAATATGTTGTTTTGTGGTGGTTTGAACAATAACATTAATTTAATATAATTACATTGGTGGGACTCTTTGTCCTTTAAATGAAAATTGCATTTTCTTACTTCCAGATGATCCTCCAGAACTGGATCCAGCAGTTTTACGTGCTTATTTTCCCCCTATTGCATAGTGAACGAGTCATTTGGGGACATGTGTGATTGAGCGTAGCGAGTGAATGAAATCCTTTACCTAAAAAGACCTGTGCTGCATCAGTGACCACATTTGCTTTGTTTCCATAGCTGGTATGGGTTCTGTACTGTGACCTCATATGTCTAGATTATGACGGCAATCTTCTCGACGCTTGTGTCTGTGCATTGGTTGCAGCTTTAAAAAATGGTAAGTCCTGGCAGTATCTAGCCAACTGCATACACTGTGGCATAATACTAAAACCAATATCTCCAGTGTAAGTTAGAATGATCAGTCGGTCCTTGACAATTAAAAGGTTCGCTAGCTTTACTTATGCAAAAGTCTAGTGCACTAGTACTTTATAGTTGAATATACATTAAAAGTCATCCCCTCTCCTTCTCTGATCTTTTACCCAAGCACATTGTTACAACCCCTTGTTTCGTAGATACCATCATCTTGGAATTCCATGATACCTTGTGCTCATGAACTGATTTGTAGTTGAAATGAAGAACCCCCTGGTCATGAGAACGATTTGCAGTAATTCAGTGATGTGCAGGATCAATGGGTTCCAACAATTCACTATAAACTGCAGCGTAGTTTAGATATGCATGAAATGCACAATGCATTTAGATAAGGAATTATGTTTATTTGTCCACCTATTCCAAAACCAGGAAGTACAGATTATATTATATTATATCAGTCACTACTGCTGGGACACCAGTCATGCACATTCTTCCTATGGTCTTTCAAAAGTCAGACAAGCTTTTTTTTTTTTTCTTTGTAGTTTTATCTTTTGAACACATTTAACATTTTATACAAGGAAATCTGCTACTTGTTGATTTTAGAATCTGTTAAATGTTCTGAAACAATATTGCTTTCAGACTAGTCATATTTCCACACCTGAATGTCTGGTGTAGAAAGTCACAGCTTGTGCTTTTTATGTGGAGAGCCAGAGGGAACATTTTAATTAGTTAACTTTGGTCAAAATAATCATTTTCTGCTTTGAATATTCTCCGAGACGTTGTTGGTCTCTTTTTACAGTGCGACTGGCATCTGTTAAAATAAACGAAGATACTGGTTTAGCAGAAGTTGATTTTGAAACAACTAACCCTTTGAAAATCCTGAAACATCCTATTTCTACATCATTTGCTGTTTTTGATGGGTGAGTATGACACATGAACAGGAAAAAAAGGCTTACTCAAAATTTTTTGTTTATATTCTAATTATCATAAAATCTGTCAAGGTGGAAACTAATATTTTAATGAGACATTCTTTAATGTGCATACTAATCATCATGTTTGCAGGGCAGTCTTTGGACTTACAAGTGCTCAGTCCCAGAGTCCAGTGCGTGCACATTCCTCAGCAGCCACACAATTTATTTTAATTTTATAAAGTGAATATTAAAATGCTCAATCACGTGTCATTTCTATTTATCAACCAAAGGAAAACGAATTGAGTAGTGTGTTGGATGTGAAGTTGTGTATATTTATGATGGCTGTATGTGGCAGGCTGTGTGTGATTTGTGTAGGTAACTACCTTGTGGTCCAGTGGCAGCTGTGATTGTGGTCATGCTCCCTGGTGGTTGCGTGGATATACAGTGACTGATAGACTGGTTATTCCAAATATACTTCATTATTATGAAGTATTAGTCCTTGCTCAGTTCCCTCCATTTCCATCGAGACATTTAAACTGTGTCAATATGAAGGATTCTGTGATATCTCCAGCTAGAATATGAAATCTCTTATTGACTGACTCCAAAACCACACTCTCTAACATCTGTCCATTACCTGGAGATTAGGAAAAACCCAGAAAGAGAGTATGATATTTGTATTTTATCTCTACTAACTTTCCATTTCTTGATCATGAACATATAACCTGACCATTTGTCACAATGCAGGTATTGGAAAGTCCTTGTTTAATAAAATCATGTTTCTTACCTTCAAAGTGTTGAGCTGTATGTTTACATTGCCCTATTAGGAGGGTTATTTAAACTTAGATGTTTTCTTTCCATATCGACAAACTTACAAAACGATACCCCATAAAGATAGTAATTGAGAAGGGTTGATTACGGTATGTTACACTGCAATCCAGAATGCTACCTATAAAACACCTGCAAATTACAAAGTAGGATGAAAAAAGGAAGTTCATACTAAATTTTCCAATGTATATTGGACACTGGTCCTAAAATATGATGGTTTTCTTGAGATGTACAAATCATATGGAACTATCATACGAACAGCTATTTCCATGGTAGCTGACACTTTTTCCATAGCTAGAAAAGCGTTATTCCACCCTTTATACGTTTGTCTTTTTCCCACATTTTCTGTAATCCACCAGAATAATTAATACATCAGTTACTTAATTATTCCTGTCTGGATTTTTTTTTACGTCCCCCACCACTACTAAGATGTTTTTCCTGTTGATTTACTAAAATGCACATTTATACATTAAACAAAACATGTAAGAAGCTGCACCCCTGCCAACTAAACCTTCTACTCTAACAGTGCAGGGAAGATTTAAACGTTTGCACTCTTTTTTTTATTTTTTCTTTCTCATCGCGAATTAGATTTATTTTTTTTATACCAAAAATTGAACATGAAAAAACAAAACTGATGAAATAGCTGCGGTGAGGAATAATGTGACTCAAGTAAGGACACAAATAGGAGTCCATCGGAAAGGCATCAGAAAAGCCATACTAAAAGCAAATGCTGCACTTTTTATATATAAACTACAATTTATATTGGAATGTGATAGCAAACCTTTTATTTTTTTTTTCCTTCTTACCATGAAGGATGCATTCAGTAAAGATGTTATGTCTCTTATGCCTTTATCTATGTGTACATCTCTGTCTATGGATTTTTGTATATGTATCTTACTGTGTGTATTACTGTCTCCAGACGTAAAACTTCTAAATGTCTCTCAAAAGAATAAAAACCTAATCTTTAAAGTGATTTTACAGGTTTGTGTCGGAATTCTAATGACTGATTTACACACCTGTAAAAATAAATAGCTGAAATCTTGTGAAATCTTTTGTTCAATATACAGACTTTATTGCTGTAAAAGCTGTCACTTTTTTTTATATATATATATATAAATCATGTTAATTTTTATGGGCACTCTCCCTTAAAATTTTAGTTTTTAACCTCCGCCTGTAGGAATTGATTATTACTAATTTTAATGGTGATATATTTTCCGACATGTTCATGCAGAAATGTGACGCAATGTGCGATTAAATTATTATTTTTTTATGATTACATTTTAGTTGCAAGTTGATTATAGAAGCAAGTATATTGGGCAAAGAAAATCAAATGAATGTTTTAAAAGTAAAATTGCTGTGCTGTTCGTAGGCAGTAATGAAAAAGGTTGCAGTTTTGGGATTTGCTTATTTTGCCATTATTCTGAAATTAACCTATATTTCAAATGTGTCTTTTTAGCACATTCCTTCTAGTGGATCCCACAGGAGAGGAGGAGGGCTTAGCCACTGGGCTGATGACCATTGTAACTGATGAAGACGAACGAATATGTTCTATTCGTAAACCAGGTAATTTTTATTACTCTAGGTCACAAAAGTTCTTTTGTCTATAAAAATGGCTGAAAAATAGGCCAGGGACATGTAGTTTAGGAACGGAGTGTCTAAAACAAATAGATTGGTGTCTGTGACAGTGACATGGTATATCAAGCACTGTCCACAATCCTGTGGTCAGTTTAAAAGATGGAAGTCAGTGGAGCAGTGCAAATGAGATCTGTGACTCCAGATCAGTTTGCCTCCCATTTTTTTTTCTTTTTACTTAACAGGACTGGTTTAGCTTTATTAGAAATTTCCCGTAATGTATTATTTTAGCAGAGCTTTTTTTCTTATGATCTTTTCTAGTTTCCGCAGAATGCTATGAGATTAACAGTGTTGTTTGGAAGACTAACATGTTTCCATTTTGCCTTGTCATAACTAGTGTACGTCGATAGTTGTGTAACCATGCTCTGTTGCTTCTGGGGCTACTGTAATGCTTAAAAGACCACTCCATATTCATAAAGCACTTGGCTTGCTGACGTTGTTTACGGGTGAGGAGTATCCCACTGAAAAAGAACTTTATAAAATAGTGGATTATCATAAAAATCATTAAATATCCCCTTGAATATTGAAAGTGCCCCCTGCGTTTCTACTCACAGACCTCACCTAAGACCAGTGCTTGTTGGGATATTTTCATAAGCTTTCCCAGTGAAGAGACTGAACATGTCTTCCAGGGAAAAAAGGGAGGACTCACAAATGATGCATTTCAGAAGAACTGCAGTTTTAGCAAGCTCTTTCAAGATAAACCCCCAATGTATACATGCATTAAAGGACCACTATAGTGCCCTCAGGTTCCCCTCCCGCCGGGCTCTGGGGGGAGGAAGGGGTTAAACTTAACTCTTTCTCCAGTGCCGGGCTGGGAACTCTCCTCTTCGGCTGAATGCGCATGTGCGGCAGGAGCTACGCGCGCATTCAGCCAGTCCATAGGAAAGCATTCACAATGCTTTCCTATGGATGCTGGCGTCTTCTCACTGTGAAAATCACAGTGAGAAACGCGGAAGCCCTCTAGCTGCTGTCAATGAGACAGCCACTAGAGGCTGGATTAACAAATTTATAAACATAGCAGTTTCTCTGAAACTGCTATGTTTATAAAAAAAAAAAAGTTAACCCTAGTAGGACCTGGCACCCAGACCACCTCATTAAGCTGAAATGGTCTGGGTGCCTATAGTGGTCCTTTAAAAACAGGAAAATGCATGCATGCATTAAGTGAGGGTATATCAACTAAAGTGCTTTTTGTTCCATTTTTCTAAGGAGAGATAGAAATCATAAATTATGAACACACCTACCCTTAAACTAAGTATGAACCAAAACGAGTATACATTTTCTCAGTTATTTTTTGCAAAGACGCAGAGAGGTATTAGTCCAGAACATATATTGAAACATCAGTTTTAAATGAGCATCTTGAAAAAAAATAAAAATAAAAATTCTGGAATGTTTTCAGCATCTGGTATTCTCATGTATGTTTTCATTAAAATCAAGGTCCAAGTTACAAAGAGAGACCATAGAAGGTCTCGTGAGTTAAACATACACTGGCATCATTTGGGGACTAAAAGCATCTTCAAGTTAACCTTGATGGTTGTCACTCTGACTTATTTATGTTGTGGAAGAAAAATAAATTTCTCAAGGGTTATACTGATGTTGGAGCACTGTACTGTGAATGGTACTCCCTTTTTAACAGTCAAACGTCTAATGTTTAACCCCTTAAGGACACATGACATGTCTGACATGTCATGATTCCCTTTTATTCCAGAAGTTTGGTCCTTAAGGGGTTAAAGGAAAACCGCTGTTTTTATTTTTGAAAATAGATTACATGTATTATAGCCTCTGTGTGCAATTTTGTAATTCATACATTGAATACCTCTTTATTGCATCTCCCTGCTTTACAGGGGTGGACAGTTTTGATCCACTGTATATAGAAGCACATGGTGTGCATAATTTCAATGTCTGGAACAGCTCACAGCACATTTTTGAAATGTCCGTCATTTGCATGTGACATTTGAATTTGGAATAGCAAAATGTAGACAGTGCCGTTTCTAAGAAATAGCACTGTTTTCATTTGCAAGGCTGCAGGGGCAGCATCTGTGCCCCCAAATCATCCAACATTAAAGGTACACTATAGTGTCAGAAATACAAATATGTTCTCCTGACACTATAGATCTAAAAAGCTGTTTAAGGCCCCAGCCCACGCTGACCTATGGTTAGAAATGTGAATTACTCACCTTTCTCCAGCGCCGCACTGGCCCCACCAACACATTGCCCCCTTGGCTGAGATCAGCAAACTTGGTAACTTCAGCCAATCCAATACTTTCCCATAGGAAAGCATTGGGAGGCTATCAAGCATGCGCGGCAAATCAGCTACATTTAGCTGTAGTTGTTCTGGTGACTAGTGTCCCTTTGAAGTGATTTGAGATCATGCACAGTCCAGTTATTTTGAAACAAATACTTTTGTGCGAGGCATAACAATAAAAACCAAATCTGCTGCTAATATTTCTTAACATCTCACAAAAGGCAAGAATTTATAGCAGTTTGTTCATGTGAGCACCTGTTCACTGCTTGAGAAAAATACATAGTCATAACTAAAAAGTGAAGTGTCTTGAAAAATAAGATTCAGTTACACTGCATACAATTACTTTCTCTTTCATCAAGTTATTCACTAAACCAGCATCTGTGTAGAAATGAGAGCAATCATTTTAGGCCAAACGAGGTAAATTCTACAAACTCCATGTTTTTCAGTTCTGCCATCACTTAACAATGTGCAATCCCTTTCACAGTTCTCCCTAGTTCCTGCTTGAATAAATAGCCCCATATAATTTGCTAACAAAATTTGTCTGGCATGGTTGATAAGAAAATAAGTTTGGATGGCACAAATCTTAACATTTGTTTCCTCTAGATTAGATTGTGCCTGCAATCTAAATGATAGTATACACATATCTCATCTTACATTTTTTTGTAAATGGAATTAAAAAAAAAACCAAACAAACAACATTGTATTTTGATTTGTGAAACATGTTGTAAACTGCTTGATATCTCTTAAGGTGGAAGTGCCCTGTCCCCAGAGAAACTCCAAGAGTGCATCAGTCGAGCAGTCACGCGACACAAAGAAGTTCAAAATTTGCTGAATGAGGTTTTGGAGAGTGTAAAATCAGAAAAGTCGTTTTAAAATGAACATGTAAAAAATTTGTATTTGTTGCTATGGCTGCACATTTTTGTACTAAATAAAATAAAAAAACAAACATACAATTATTGAATTTCAGAGAGTTTGCTATCCTGATTCAGTGTCTTTTTTTTACCCACACAGCTTATTCTGTATCGGGAAATTACATTTAAAAAGGTTTTAAAATAGCCATTTACATGATCTTTCTAATACACCTTGTTTCTCTGTCCGTTGTTTTCCTCCTCTTGATGCCTCTGTCTTCAGTGTTTACTTTGCGTTTCGCAGCATTGTAATGTTACCATTTTTTAAAAATATATAGATATAAAACTAGAAGGCCATTGTTGGTTGTCGCATTCTGTCGCTAAATGAAGCAGTGATGTGGTATACAAAAATCAGGGTTTTGGTTCCCAGGATGTGGATCCCCTTCTTTTATTTCTTGGACTGTCTGAATGAACCTGGTGGTGCAGAGGTGCCGCTTGGGCTGTTGCCATAGCCATTTGCTGCATTTGATGTCGCAAGAATCGCAACTGCCAAAGTAAGGTTAAGGAAAGACAAAAAGGATAACTTTTAGTACCGGTCATATTGGTTACAGGAAGGGCAGACATGTGTTAGCCCTTTGACTGCTGTCAAACTACACAGCCCATAATGCTTTTCCAGCCAACAGGCTAGCAAAGCCTCGTATTTCGAAAACAGTCAGATGACTATCTTTTGGGTACACCTGGATTACAAGAGTTCCATGCAAAGCAGGGGTTTATGGACACTATATAGAACCATGAGTATGGTAGGAGGATAAATGAATGAGCAGTCATGCAGCATCAGTGGCACTAAAACATATCAAATTCCAAAACAGTTCTCTGCCCATATAGCTACAGTAAATCAGCAACTTCAGTAAGGATCCAAACACCTAGCATTTCATCCTTTCTAATTCATGCAAAAAATCTGACTTCCACAAACTGCATGTGAACTTGCTAGATAGTTTATGAATCATATGGCCCAATCATGGACTAGTAACCTGGGTAGATAAATAGAGGGTGTAGTTGGAAAAAGCAGGATATGGTCCATAGTTTTGTTACTCCTCTTGTAGGAATTGGAACTACGCCAATTACATGCGGTGCCTACATTTTGTATACAATACGCCAAGTTGACCAGCACATGCACCGTAAATCACAAAAATGTTCTTTACTGTCGCATCTTCCAGACTACTAGCAAATATTACGATCACGGAAATGCTGAATGATAATTAAATTTACTTTGCTGTGCCTACTTAGAAAGTATTGTTCTATCCAAACGTCTTGCTTTATAAAGCAGAATGTATTATTGTTTTGAGCCAGCCTGAGCGATTTTTAGGGAAGTTGCTGGATTACTTGTATCTGTTGCTGCTGTAAGGCATGTTGCTGCTGCTGTAAGGCAGGAGAGAGCTGGAATTTCTGCTGTGGAAGGGTTGGCCCAGGTCTGTTCATAGCAGAGCCAAGCTGAGGTAACACTAAGGAGAGGAGAAGGGGAGAGTGGAGGTCAAGAAAGAAGGTTTTGGAATGAAGGATCTAAAGAGAGCAAGGGCTTGTTCTTCGCTGCACATCCAATATCAGATGCACTTGGACCCTGAAAAGCTGCAGTTCAGTTCAAATCTTTTGTGAAAGTAAATAGTGTTGGTCTGCATGTGTGACTATTAAATATACATGTAAAGGTCAGAAAAAATATTTTGCAAATGAGAGCTTAGGGGATCGAGTTTGAAGCACTGTGTGTTCTTGGACAAAGATCTGGAATATATTTACATCACATAAATACAAAAATAGAATAAACAATGAAAATCAGCCTAGTCAATGGAAGCGGTACACTTAATTTTTAAATTACGCATTGGTATAGGTGAGGGCAAATTTTCAGTCAGTCAGTGATGGGTCTTGCAGTCTGCTGTTTGTTGTGTTGCCAGATCTACCTTGTTTAAAGGGAGCATAACACGTGTATGCATATATAGTATAGGAAGGCATTTTTAACATACTGCCCTCCTGCATGTGCAGGGAAACATGGCTGTCCTACAAGCGAATCAGAAATAAAATCACTGACCAATATGAGGGGAAACAAGCTCTAACTCTCGTGAGCCTGATACTTTTGGAGATGATTGCTTGCTCAAGAAAAAAAAATTATAGCGTAAATTAAGGCAGGCTGTAGGTGACATACTCCCTTCGTTTATATATCTGTTTATATATAAACCACTGCTGTCTTGAAAGATTCACTTTCGCTGCATGACTTAGCCACAGCATGAAGGCAAGGATCATGAGATATTACGAGATAGAAGGAAAGGGGATATTGCATGGTCTGGAACAAACACTTGGGTTGCAGATACATACCGGCTGCTTGAGAAGGCATAAAACCTCCTACTCCTGTTAAGTTAATAACAGCTGCTTGCTGGGCTGATAAAGTCTGATCTTGACTATTAGGACCCTGATCCATTCCCTGAGAGGAAGAAGAAAAAAAAACAACAAACAGATCACTTGTAATTCTTATCCACAAACAGGACTGTAATAAAGGTTTTACACCTATATGATGCAGTAAAGCAGGAGTAGGAAACTTTTGGCACTGCGCATTTTAGAAAGCTTGAAGTCCAGACAAAAAAAAATACTATATGACCCTAAAATGTGTTTTTACCTTTACTTTTTGCACAGCTCTTTGTCTGATGAGTCCTGACTACTCTGATCTGTTCTTGGAACTTAAAGATGTCTTTATGTGGGTTCCAAACTATTTATGGCAAAGACATCTTGCTAGGTGAAAGTGCCATTTCCACCTTTCTTTTTTGGCATAAGCCTTAGCCCACCCCTGCTCTCCAGAACATACAGTGCAAGGCATATATCTCTCCTTGTAGAACATTTCATAGTTAATAAAACACTGGGTATAGACCTACTTCTTCTCTGTGCAGGAAAAAAAATCAAGAATAAATCTTCTGATTTTATTGGCAGATCCTAAAATAAACATTTTTACTAACTCTACAATGTTTATTTTTCTATTCAAGTCCTCATCGTTTGAAGCAGCAAACAGGATTAATAGATTTTTTTTTAATGACAATAACATTGTTGAAACTCACAGTATTTGCCATGGTGATGCTCCGTTTGGGAAATTATTCTCCAATTAAATAAGACCTAACACTTTTGTTAGGGCCTATCTTGGTTACAGATCCATTAGGTATATCTCCTGTCAGAAGAAAGGTGGAAGCTGCACCCTCTTTTCTGTTATTGTCTGTTGGTAATTCTTTAATTCTATGCTATCCACATTTAGATTCTGATTGTGTCTGGTGTGCATTGTCTGCAGTATATTCTGTATTGCAAAGGATGTAGGCACATCTCAATTTATGCCCAACCTTCCCCCCCACCTTCTGTGACGACCGTCTTCATTATGTCATTAGTATACACATCATATAGTACTAAGTAACTTGTACAAACCTATGAATGAAGCTACTGCAGTATTTGTACATTTTCATGAATGAAGCTTTTTGCAACTTTGCCCACTTTGGTCAGGGGTTTAGAGGGTATGCTCTCCTTTGTCAACAATGGAGGAAGCAGAGATCGGAGTCAATAGGAGGTCTTGGTAGAAGATGTATCTTTCATTTTTGGCATAATTTTTTTAAACTGCATGCCTATAATTTATTAAAAAGTAGGCCTCTGCTAATAGTTGTAAACAAAACTGGAACAAACTTTTATTATTCCACACTTTAGACACTTTTGCCAAAAGTAGTTTGAATAAGACTAAATATGTTCTGTGTCAACATCACAAAATACCTTAAAAGAAAAAAAATACAGCAGTAGATACTGTTTTGTAAAATTAAAGAAGAAAATAAAAAAATTAAAATATATATATATATAACTTTGGAAAAGGATTACAGAATGTTCACGTGTTTGCAATTAAAGTTTGATCTAATATATTTTAGAAAAAATAAAGATTATTTGTTTGTGGACACCCTTTAGTCATTGCTTATATTAGCACATGCCACAGTTGATGAGCATTCAAGTTTTCTAAAATATATTTCAATGCCATGTCTTTGAAACAAACCCAGGGAAACACTTAGATGGGTGTCTGCTTTTAATTTAGAGCTTGTTACAATTCTTAATTGATATTCTGTAAACTCAGATCCCAAACGCATTTTTTGGGTTGTGTGCAATGAAATAATGGTCAAAACTTTACTGTGATCCTTATCTGCAGTAACAAAGCTATTTAGAAAAGTTGAAAAGTAGAAATATGTATATGTTAACTTAAAGGGAACTAGTCACCAAAACAACTTTAGCTCGATGAAGCAATTTTGGTGTATATATCATGCCCCTGCAGTCTCACTGCTCAGTTCCCTGCCATTTAAGAGAAATCACTTTGTTTATGCAGCCCTAGCCACACCTATCTGCATGAGACTTACACAGCCATCCTAAACACTTCCTGTAAAGAGTCATCTAATGTTTATACTTCTTTTATTGCAAATTCTGTTTAATTTATAATTTATTATCTATTGCTCTGTTTATGGCTTGCTATACCCTGCAGGAGCCTCGTTTATGTAATTAAAGTTCAATTTACAGAGCAGGAGATAAAAAAACTTTTCAAGTAATTAACATCTTATTGAAAATGAAACAATTTTGTTTTCATGCAGGCTATGGCAGTCACAGCCAGGGTAAGTGTAGCTAGGGCTGCATAAACAGAAATAAAAGTGATTTAGCTCCTAAACGGCAAAATAATTGAACAGTGAAACTTCAGAGGCATGATGTATGCACCAAAACTGCTTCAGCTAAGCTAAGGTTGTTTAGGTGACCATAGTATCCCTTTAATCCAATTGATTAAAAATCAAAGTGCATGAACATATAAGAGTTTCTTTGTGAATATCTTACCGATGGCATCAGGCCCATCTGATCACCTGGTTGTTGAGGACTAGAGGTCGCTGCCTGCTGAGACTGTTGAGGTGAAAACTGAGACATTTGGGGCTGTTGTTGCTGCATGGGGTTGAATATGAGTGAAGCACCAGGAAGCTGTATTAAAAAAGACATTGACTTCATAAACATCCAAAGTGTTTGAGTGTGGGATAAGACTTCATGGACATTTCATTGAAACAACTATATATCTTCTATAACTACCAAATGCTCCTCTTTTTGATGGGGGAAAAAAACTCTTTAAAAGTCAAATCCTTGTTTGAAAATGCACAAAGGCAGCCATTCTTTCCCACATACATACTCTCTCTTTCTCTCTCTCTCTCACCACACACAAATATATACATCCATTTATTTTTTTTACTCTTTGAGGAAGCAACTTTTAAAACTCTGTGTTACAGTCTGCCTTGAATAGAGAGACAACACACAAATAACACTCTCAAACACTTAAAGAGACACTGTAGACACTATAACCATTTCATCTCATTTTTAGACAGTCACCACTGCCCCTTCCTGCTTGAACTAATATTTCCTTGTTAGCCACGGCAGCAGAGAGGAGATGGGCTTCTGGGGACTCTCATTTAACTTTAAGCCATTAAAAACGGTCTAACACTGATTGGAGGTACAGCACCAAAGGACTCCAAACATTGTTAGTCACTTCACTGAGATAAAACGGTTACAGTGCCCCGAGTATACCTTTAATTACTGATGGATTCCCTTTCTGTATTTCTATAATGGACTGCAGGAAAAAATTGACAATTTATTTGTGTATTCATGTCCTTGAGCCGCAATCTATGCACAGAAATGTTCTTTTAACTATATTGTTTAAAGTGTAAAAGTTTTACTGTCCAAGATACCTCAAGACATTGATTTATTTTGAATACATGGCAGTATTGCATGTATTAACATTAACAGGACATGAATTCACATAAAAATGTGATTCTTAGACTGTAAACTCGTTTGAACTGGTGAGTTTTTCCCTGACTGGACAACATCTGCATCATTGTGACAGAAAACTGGGAATATACTTAGTGTCAGTCACTTGTTTTACATAAAATAAATGAGAAACAATGCTCCAAGCACCTTAACCACTACAGTGTGTTTAAGAACGCAGTCTGCCATTGACTTGTTTATCTTCCATCTGCGTCAATGAGCTAAGTCCTGCATTGCAGAGCCAACTAACTGAATTACTAGGGTTAGCTCAATCCAGAGGCTTCAATCTGGAGAGAAGATAGTGAACAACATGTAAATTGCTAAACTGTTCTTTGACTTCGGTTTGCCTACTTACACTAGAGGGTGCCATAGCACTCCTGGCACCATAACTACTACATTTATGGTGCTTGGAGAGAGAACTCTCTTTGAGAGTTTATACTCAGATCTTATAGGTATATCTTACTCTAAATTCATGTGCAACTTGGCATCACTCACTGCAGAACCATTTAAAGAAACCTACATGCTAATAGCTTGTCTACCAGCTAAACGTTTACAACAGCCTTGAGGGAAAAAAAGTACATAATTCACTTTGCCACTAGTCATTTATCCTTCCTTTTATAATCTAGGGTTGAAACAGCCCAAATATATCTTTGTTTAAAATATTTCACACTATCAAAAGTGCTTGAAATGTCTCGATGAATATTAGTTACCTGCAGCAGATTCAAAGGCCTTAGACCTGATGTGTTTTTTAACCCAAATGGACCACCTGTTGAAGAGAAGAAGTTACTCAATTAAAACAAGTTTCCAAGAATAATTCTTAGAAAAACATTCAAGGAAAATCAGACTATTACAGCTAGAGCTATTTCCTAAAACAGAAAATATTACATACATAAAATGTAACATTAGTATAAAAAATTCTGAATGTTAACGAATAAGTCCTAGTATCAGGATTAGCTTCAATAGTAAAGTCCATCACATCATCTGAACACTTAACACATAATGAGTTATTGTAAAACACTATAAATGCATAAAAAAGATGTATTAACCTCTCTATAAATGCTCTTCAAATGTTCAGCCTCAAAATCTGATCAAAATTTAATTTTTAGCAGAAAGAAAGCAGGTCGAAGTTAAAGTAGAAACATATTAAACAAAAAAATAAAATTAGGTATGCAACACAATATTACAATTAAGTGTTATAGTAATGTCATTTTAAATCTAACAGACTATCTTAAACTGTGATTTATTTTTAGGATATTGTAACATTTACATTTAATCTTTAGTCTTATTAATGCTTCATCAAGCTAACATTTTTATTTTGTTGCAGCAGAAGCTAAACTTAAAGTGGCTTTGTCATCACAATCTTTCAACCTTTCTTGTATGGTTTCCTCTTTCAGAATCTGTTCTTCATTTTCTGAACTATTTCTTTTTAAAACATAAGACAAAGTAAGGACTAATTTGCCTTGTGTTTTTTCCCCTGTACTTTGCATTCTTGACAAGCTGAAAACAAATTTCACCCTTTGTTAACTTGACAAAAGGAAGTGGAGCTTGCCTTTAGCTCCACCCTGTTGTCACAATTGTCAAGTGTAGGAAAAATACATAAGACAAAATAGTCTCTAGTTTATCTTATTTTTTTAAAGAGAAATAGTTCAGAAATTAAGAAAAGAAGAACAGATTCTGAAAGAGGGCGATAAGAGGAAACAATAGCAGAAAGGTAACTTTGAGGCAACTTTATGCAATGTCCTAAAAACAAATGTTTGTCAAAATGTATCAGAATTTCCACATTTATATTCCCAATATACTAACCTGCCTGAGAGTTAGACTGCATAGCAGCCGGAACCAGACCTCCTGACGGTAAGATGCCACTCAGATTTATCCCTGCTGGACTTATGGCACCAGAACTACAGCCCAACATGGTGTTTGAGCCACTCATCAATGTCTGTGGGCCACTGTGGAATAACAAAAATAGAACATTAACGAACTTACAAGGAACACACATAGATGAAATATAACCTCGCCTTATCAATGTTAACCTCTACCAAGTTCTTCTGACGATGAAACTACACAAACTGTGCAATTTAAGCTCACTGTAAAATGGCACACAGTTGTGCATCTTCTAAAACCAATTATGTTTACACTCAGCAATCACCTGGTATGTGTATATTAAAGGGACTCTCCAGTACCAGGAAAACAAATCCTGCAGTGCCCCTCTCCCTCCCACCCCCCATCCCATGTTGCTGAAGGGGTTAAAACCCCTTCAGTGACTTACCTGAATCCAGCGCCAATGTGCCTTGGCCAATATAACATATATTTAAAGTTGATCACAAAATATGTGTGGGCAAGGCACTTTCTGGTATCAATACAGTTAATCTTTACCAGGGGTGGCCAATAGGTAGATCCCCAGATGTTTTAAAAATACAACTTCCATGATGTCTTGTCATTCTAAAGCAGTGGTTTCCAAACCAGTCCTCAAGGCACCATACCCATCTAGGATTTAGGGATTACCACGTTGTGTCAAGAGGTTTTTTTTTCCTTTCTAAAAACACCTTAGACACAACTGGGTAATCCCTAAATCCTGGACTGGTAGGCATACCTTGAGGACTGGTTTGGAAACCACAGTTCTAAAGGAATGCAAGGACACGCAAAACATTATGGGAGTTGCAGTTCTACAACATCTACCTTTTGGGCACCCGTGATCTATACCTTGGCTCTGACAAAAAGGACATATTAATTTATATACTTACAAGTCACCAGTGGAAGATATGATGTACAAGCCATCACACAATTTTTAGCATGTGACTCCATGAATATTGGCCAATGGGTGCCACATTTGTAGTCTTTATGAATTACCAATGGCAAAACAGTAAAGAGAAAGAGTTCAGCTACAAATGAGATTTTGAGATAAGGAGCCTAAGGTGTTTCTTAAATTTGAAAATGAATGTGTCTTACTTTAGGATTAGACAAAGGGAGGGTCAATTAAAAGATATATAACTTTGAAATGGAGCACAAAATAAGTTGCAGATGCCTGTGAACATAGGAGATTCTGAAAAATCTGACATAAGCTCAAATGGTTCCAAACTTACAAGAGTGTTTAACTAAATGTTTAAAGAACGCTGTTCAATCTATTTCTCAGTTTTGACAAAACATAGCACATTTTACAATATGCATATAGCAAGAAAAAAACCCCATAGAATGTCTGAAATTAATTAAAATGTAACACCAATATACATATTTAAATAAAAAAAACAAAAAAAAAACACGAGTAACCAGTGCACAAACAAAACACCATAAAGCAAAGAACTTACCATACAGAGCCAACTACATTGATGAAGTTAAGTCCAGCTGGGTTGGTCATGACTTGGGTTGAGGAAGTTCCTGTGGTTAGAGTCGTGACCATAGTGGACAGTGGAATGGTCATTACAGGCAATCCCTGACCCAGAGACATTTGCTGTTGAGCAAACTGTGTTAACAAAGTGGGTTGTGAATTAAAGCTCGAGTCTTGGGGTGTGGGGGTGGCAGAAGGGGTGAGAGGAGTTGAGATCAGAGCATCAGGAGGATGCGGTGTCGATGATGGGGTGTTGGTTGGTGTAGGAGTAGATGGTTTGGGAGTTCCAGATCCTGCTCATTGAGAAAAATAAAAAGTGCTAGTACAAAAAAACCCAATTTGTTCCAAAAAAGAAAAAAGGAAAATAAAAAATAAAACCGTATTGTCAATTATTTCTCACCTTATAAAAAAAAAAAGGACAAAAAAAAAAGGACAAAAAAAAAAAGAAAAAATAAGAAATACACTGAAGGCGCTAATCTGACTCCAATAAAAGCTTCAACAGATGCAACACAGATAAGAACTTGCAAGGGTATAAACTAGTACCCGACGAAAAGACAGAAAGAAAACCACTTATTAACAGGTCGCAAATGCTTCAAACCCATTTAATGACAAAAACAAATCAGATAAATATAAAATGTTATGTACGTAATGGGTCATATGTTGGCAATTGAAGCACACATTTTTTTTTTTTTTTCTTCCAAAAAGGAAAATTTGTCATTTGCATTCAGTTCTCTTTTTGGTTAAATACATGACAGTTTTCAAACGGTTTCACACAATGCATGCAACGTTAAAAAAAAAAAAAAAACATAACAAAAAACAAACAAAAAACAAACAAAAAGAAAAACACAAAAGTGAAGTCATATATGCAACCATTCATTTCACTTTTAACCTGCTTTTGAGCCAGAGTTGCCTGCGGCAGCCAGCATCACGACACTCAGCTGGCTCCAACACAAAAGAAGTGTCTGGATTTGCAATGACTTTTGGACACTTTTACATATCCAGCATCCTTCATGCACTCATTATAATGCCTGAGCGGCAATGATAAATTATAAAAGCATAAAATAATGTGGTTCAAATGTCATCATATAAAATATTGCACCAATCGACTCGCTATCAGTTATACATACACAAAAAAAAAAAAAAAAGCTGCAATAACTTCATTTAACATTTCTTTAAAGATGCTGTTCTACCCTACTTATTGGATACAATATAAATAAGTAATGCCTTAGAAATATCAACATTATTACATTTCAAAATCCCCACACTACTCAGAGAAATAGCTGTGTACACATATAATAGCCGGCCATATCGATAAATATAAGTATTGTCTGGCCAGACTAATTTAATACTGCAGTCATGTGACACAGGAGAGAGCAGTGATAGCTTAAATACTACTGTACCAGAGCTATTGGGCTGTTATCTTTCTGCATACAAAACTATTAAGGGAAGAAAATCGACATATTTGCTTAATTTTCTCTCCTTTTTCACTTAAAATCAATATTCTGTTTATGTTTTGACTACGCGGAACAGCACCTTTAAAACCAGCAGCTTCAAAAAGGCAAGTCCTTCAACGTTCTCTTACACAATCAAGAAAGTGCACTGTTATCATTTAGTCACATTTCATATCTGGTTTGTTTTTTTGTGGGTTTTTTTTTTTAAAGCATATAAAAAACACCAATCTTCTAGCGTCATATCATGATTAATACGTATACACAAAGGGTGCATACAAAATACAGAAAAAAAGGGACAGTTACATTAAACATAAAATACATACATTTAACAGAACACCTTTCTAAAATTCTGCCAGATTTATACAAGCATTAGCGCGCGCACAAGCGTACATGTTGGTGTCGGAAATCCATTAGAATTTAATCTTGAAGACCTCTACACGAAAGGGCTATGGTGATTTAATGGAGAATTTAGGTCGTGACTCACTTTGTGAAGAGCCGGCAGGTGACAAAGCAGCAGGAGAAACCATGTTAATTTGATTATGGTCCACAGACTGCTTCCGAGAGATACTTGGTGGCTTGGAGGGAGGGGGCGTTGTAGATTTGAGGTGGCCACTTGCCTGCTGGGAGCTAAAAATATTACCTGAAAAGGTTTAAAACAACATAATAATCAATATGTTGATGAGGGAATTTTCAAGTATAACTTGGAATATGTACAGGTTATTATTAATTTCATGACCATATTGCATTCATTTTATCGACTGCAGAAGGATGAAAGTCTGAGATGATCCTGCTTGGAGTAGAAGCTGGAGCGGAGGTTTGGAAAGATTGTAAATAATGGCTTTGCGAAATTTTCTCACCCATCTCCTCACTTTCTGTATGTATAACAACCGACCTCCACTAAGATCAGTGATGGTTAGTCTGAGCGAACCAGGGGTTTCAGATGGCATATTCCATGATGTTCAGAAACATGAAGGTTCCTAAGGTTAGTATCCACTACCAACAATGTGTGCTTACACACACAGGCACCTTAAAGGGCCACTATAGGCACCCAGACCACTTCAGCTTAATGAAGTGGTCTGGGTGCCAGGTCCATCTAGGATTAACCCTTTCTTTTATAAACATAGCAGTTTCAGAGAAACTGCTATGTTTATAATATGGTTAATCCAGCCTCTAGTGGCTGTCTCTTGACAGCCGCTAGAGGCGCTTGCGTGCTTCTCACTGTGAAAATCACAGTGAGAAGACGCCAGTGTCCATAGGAAATCATTGTAAATGCTTTCCTATGAATTGGCTGAATGCGCGCGCGGCTCCTGCCGCGCATGCGCATTCAGCCAATGACGTCGCTATGGAGGAGGAGGGAGGAGGAGAGCTCCCTGCCCGGCGCTGGAGAAAGGTAAGATTTTTAACCCCTTCCTCTCCATCCAGTGCCAGGAAAAGGACCACTATAGTGCCAGGAAAACACACTTGTTTTCCTGGCACTATAGTGCACTAAGGGTCCCCCTCCCGCCGGGCTGGATGGAGAGGAAGGGATTAAACTTACCTCTTTTTCCAGCGCTGGGCGGGGAGCTCTCCTCTCCTCCTCCTCGTCGGCTGAACTTTCCTATGGACGCTGGCATCTTCTCACTGTGATTTTCACAGTGAGAAACGCGGAAGCCCTCTAGCAGCTGTCAATGAGACAGCCACTAGAGGCTGGATTAACCCTAACATAAACATAGCTGTTTCTCTGAAACGGCTATGTTTATAGAAAAAAGGGTTAACCCTAGATGGACCTGGCACCCAGACCACCTCATTAAGCTGAAGTGGTCTGGGTGCCTATAGTGGTCCTTTAACATTTGTATAGTATATTTTTAATGGAGGAATCAAGGTAGTATATATTTTGTTTATATTATTTCTAAAGCACCAACATATTCATAGATGAACTAACAAACAAGTAGTTGCAACAAGTCAAGTTGGACATACAAGAACAGAAGGTGGTAAGGGCCCTGCCCTCAAATGGACACTCCAGGCTTGCGGTGGTAAGTAACTTTTAAGGCCTGGCTAGTAGCTCACGACTTGAAATTGTAAGCCACGTATAAATAATAGTCTCATTTGATAATTCAAGCCACTGGATTTTCTAATGAAATCATTTAAATCATATAAGCAAAATGATCCCTTTACACATTGTTTTACCATACAAAAATCTGAAAAATTTCAGAACACTTGTAATGTTTTACATTTCAAATGTCAATAAACTTAAAAAATAAAACATGCTCTTCTTTTATAGGACTTACTATCATTTTTGTAATGTTCCTAAAATGGTGAAAAATGTCATGTGTATTTTAAGATACAAAGTTACAGTACAACTGATTGAAACCATGTTCTTTTTTAAACACATGTGCATTAAAATTATATTCTAAAAAAAATAAAGAGATCTCAAAGGAATTTTGGCCAAAAACCCTAATCCTCTAATGGAAAACTCAGAATTTGTTTTATTACATAGACCAGGGTCTAAAACTTCAAGACCTAGCCAAACTTTGAAAGTTGCTCACCACTTGAGGGCCAACGTCACACTCACCAGGGGTGAATTTCTACTCGCCAGCGCTGAATATTCACTTGCAAATGACTAGTGGCATGTGGACATTTTAAGCCCTTATATTCGGATCTGTTTAACTGAAAGCACTGACAATGCTATTTCAATTAACTGGAGTGGTTCAGCAGTTCAAATTCCATTTGTGCATCCAGTACTTGTACATGAAATTTGGATCTGCACTAGAACTCTATTGCCTGAATAGTTGGTTGAAAAATGGGTTCTTTCAGGCAAACAGGAATTAAAAACAGTAGCTGTCATTGAGTGAAAAGATGGGTCAGTAAATTTGTGCGGAAAGAGGCATTACCTTGTATGTTTACATTTTATTTTAATAATAATTAAAAAAAAGTGGTGATGATTTATATTTAAAGCCTGAAATGTTTATGACTCTGTGTTAAAACCCTGCCACATATATAAAGTGAGCTTGTTAGATGTTAACAATCATGCTGATAATTTCTTAATGTCGAATTGCAGTGAATCGAAAATTGAGCTGCAAAATTTAGGCCAAAATAACTTATTTGGAAATATTCTCCAGCTTGGTTATTTCCGTTTAGTTTTTTTAAAGGACCACTCTAGGCACCCAGACCACTTCAGCTTAATGAAGTGGTCTGGGTGCCAGGTCCAGCTAGGGTTAACCCATTTTTTCATAAACATAGCAGTTTCAGAGAAACTGCTATGTTTATGAAAAAATGGGTTAAGCCTTTCCCTATTTCCTCTAGCGGCTGTCTCATTGACAGCCGCTAGAGGCGCTTGCGTGCTTCTCACTGTGATTTTCAAAGTGAGAGCACGCCAGCGTCCATAGGAAAGCATTATGAATGCTTTCCTATGTGACCGGCTGAATGCGCGCGCAGCTCTTGCCGCGCGTGCGCATTCAGCTGACGGGGAGGAGAAGAGGAGGATCGGAGGAGGAGAGCTCTCCGCCCAGTGCTGGAAAAAGGTAAGTTTTAACCCCTTTCCAGAGCCGGGCGGGAGGGGGACCCTGAGGGTGGGGGCACCCTCAGGGCACTATAGTGCCAGGAAAACGAGTATGTTTTCCTGGCACTATAGTGGTCCTTTAATTTATGTTTTAATTCACTGCAATTCAGTGTTTAATTAAAACACCAAATATTCTGCTGAAGCAAAAATGGAAAAAGAAAATGGCAATCATCAGGATTCCCCAAGATCAGACAGACCAAGTGTAACTGCAGAATCACAGAATAAGCAACGTTAAAGTCACCCAGACCACGTCATCTCAATGCAGTTGCCCTGTCCTTTTAACCCTGCGATGTAAAACATTACAGTGTTTTAGAAACTGCAATGTTTGCATTGCAAGGTTAAATCCACCTCTACTGGCTGCCTTCCTGAAAGCCACTAGAGCCGCATCCATTGCAATGACCATGCAAAACACAGTCACCACGCATGTGCATAAGGTCCCCATGGTATTTAGTCATTGTGGAAGACAACATATGCATCCTCGATGATGTCCTAGGAGATAGAAAGGTGAGCAGTGCTGAGGGAGCCTCTGCACTGGAAAAAGATAAGCAAAACTTTTATTCACTTATCCACTCACCACTCACATACAAACAATACTAAGACACCAAACACTCAACCAACCAACTCAACACTCAGCCGCCTCCATTAACAAAACAGAGCCTGGGGATTTCGCAGGAGGCCTCCAACTGGCATCCTGCCTAGACTCCTGTGCTAAGGCTCTGACACTGTTCTGGGATGTTCCTTTTCAATAAAACAAAAGTAGCAGATATAAAAAAAAATACAAAAAATGTAAGTTTAACATTACCTGCAGAAATATTTCCAGAGTTTGCAGGAAGTTTAATTGGTGGTGGTCTGTGCTTGACACCCTTGCCCATAACAGATGGTTGTATTGAACCGGGCATATTGTCAGTCTGTTAAAATACATACAAATAAAATATTTTACAAGTTATAAAAAACAAAAACCGCCACTTTAATGGGAATAGACCACTTCTGTTTTATGAGAAGTGTGTTGCATATATCCAATTTTAAAGTAATGGAAATGTTTACGTCTCACTTGTACTTTCACTCAGGGATTTACTAAACTGTGAAAAACTGAACTACAACATTTAGGGCAGAATATCAATGCTGGAATTAAAAATGTCATCAGTTAGATATTTGCTTAAAATATTTACTATGCAATGCTGAAAATGAACAGAATTGTGGCAAACAATAGGGTAACATCACTGGTGATGTTTTAACATTTTGTAGTCAGTGTTCACAATTGTATGCTATTGTGATATCAAGATGTCATATATTGCTCTATAAACAAAACCAGGACACCTTCACATAGCAGTTTGATTTGCATCGTCCCGACAATTTCTAAGTGTCAGATAACCAGAGTTCCTAGAAAAATGTAATTGCAGATGCCAAACTTTGAAGGCTATTGTGGACACTCTCTGGGGGTGATGAAATATGAAGTGTTGTGTTCTAAAACGTGGTGTAAAGTACTAAAAGTGTAGTATTCACCATTCAGCATGGAAACTTATAGAACCAGCAAACACATTCAATTGGTGACTCTGCCTGTTCCATGGTTGCACTACTTTTCAGAACATATTTTTTTTTTTTTTTACTTAATCCGCTCTGGGTCCAGAATAAATATGTCAATTCAGAACCAATGACATTGCTGTTAACATAACAAGGGATTGCCTAATGTAGTTACGGATGAGTTCAATTTACAGACATTTGCTAATTGTTGTCATAAACAAAAAATGATATATGGTATTTATTATCAATCAATACAGTAAAAAAAAAAAAAAATCTTGTTTATCTAGTCAGTTGATATGAGCTTGAGAGTATCTCATAGAAAGGTAAAGCAAGCACACTGCAGCTAGGAACACATATTCAGCAAAGTCAGCTCATTTTTAAAACAATAGCTGCAAATGAAATATATTGTACTCTGTTAAAGGTTCTTTATACAGAGAAATCAATAATCATTGGTAAACACCAATGGTGGAACTTTCGCAATAAATGCAAATCATAAGTCTCTTATGTCCAGGTCTTACACTTATCAGCCACAACATTAAAGCCACCTTCCAAATATCTCAAAAACCAGCTGCGAAAACAGTTCTGATGCGTCAAGGCATGGACTCCACAAGACCTCTGAAAGTTTCCTGTGGTATCTGGCACCAAGACATTAGCAGGATATTCTTTAAGTCCTGAAAGTTACGCAGTGGATCTCCATGGATCGGAAATTTAGAGGCCAAGGCATCACCCTGAACTCATTGCCATGTTGCTCAAACCATTCCTAAACATTGTTTGCAGTGTGGCAGGTTTCATTATCCTGCTGACAGAGGCCACTGCTGTGAAACGTCTTTGCCATGAAGAGGTGTACGTGGTCTCCAGTAATCTCTACATAGGTGGAGACCTTCTTCCATTGTCCTGTTTTGACGTTCACGTACCCATTGAAAGCACTGTCGGCGGTGGACAGGGGTCATTGTGGGCAGCCCCATATCCAACAAACTGTGATGCACTGAGTGTTCTGACACCTTTCTATCATGGCCAGCATTAAATATTTCAGCAATTTGAGTTACACTAGCTCTTCCATATGATCGGGTGAGATGGGTTAGCCTTCACTCCCCATGTAAATCAATGAGCTTGACCACCCATGACCTTGACGCTGATTCACTGGTTGTTCTTCCTTGAACCACTTTTTGTTCTTCCTCGAATCACTGCATATTGGAAACACTCGACAGACTTGTTGTTTTGGAGATGCTCTGACGCAGTCGTCTAGCCATCACTATTTATCCTTTGTCAAAGTCACACAGATTTATTTGCTGGTCCATTTTTTCTGCTTCCAACACATGAAATTCAAGAACTGACTGTACACTTAATATATCCCACCTCATTGATAGGTGCCATTGTAACAATATAATCAATGTTAGTCACATCACCTGTCAGTGGTTTTAATGTTGTGTCTCATCAGGGTTTACATTATTTTATGTTTCTCTTATAAATAAAAAGATAGAAATAAATATTATTTAAAAATACCATAATAATGTGGTACAGTGGGTAGTTCACTTACCTCTATTTCACTACTTGGTGACAGCTGGCTGTGATTGACCATGCCTCCTGGATTGTAAGTCATCGTCACCAAACTTTTAGCTTCATATTCAAACACATCATGGTACTGATTGACAACTCTGTTAGGACGATAGCAATTGTAAATTACACTATCTGTAAATGCAGTACCTTTAGTGCATGTTACGCAAATTTGAAATGGAGATGCTGAGCAAGGTCTAACAATGAATTTACTCATTAAATAGTTAGAGAGATTTAAGAGTGATTTTACAGTTAAGAAATTTTGGATCAAACTTGAAATGTAATTTTTTCAGTTATCTACAATTGCTGGATTAATGACTAAACCTCAGTGTGCTAGTAATTGAATCCGTTCTGCAGAATCAGAATTTTACACACTGCAGCAGCACCAGCACTTTTATCGTGCCATGCAACAGCATAAAAAAGTGACATGCCCAGGGAAACATGGTGGATGTGGCTATCCAACTGGAAGATTTATTAAGAAAATCATAGTTACCTTTTGAATAAATGTTCTGGGATGACAAAAGGCTGATTAAAGGGACACTCTTGACCCCTAAAATACTTTGCTTTACATTATGTGTGAAGAGTGCATCCTCTTTTTTTTGCATTTTACAAAAAGTGCAGTTTTTTTAGTTTTTTGTTTTTTTTTAACAGATATTGGCATTTTTATAAACTAACCTTGTTACACCCCACAGGCTGTCAATCACAAAACAGGTACTGTTACTTCCTGGTTTGGTTAGCGAAGTGCAACCAAAATCAAGAGGCAGCAATTGCCTAGAGCATCTGCTTTACAAAGCCTTTTCATTTAGCTGTATTGGGCAGCCACAGAACGTCTGGGCGGGGAAAGGGAGTGTTCGCAAAGGCAGCAGACAAGAGATCTACAGCTTTTTCAAGCTAGTTTTAGATATCTCCCAATGAAAGAAATGCATATTTTAATGCATGCATGTTTTCATTGGAGTATATCAACTAAACAGCATTTTTGTTTTGTAATTGGACAGTAGAGTGTCCCCCTTAAAATAGAAACATAGAATGTGATGGCAGATAAGAACCATTCGGCCCATCTAGTCTGCCCAATTTTCTAAATACTTTCATTTTTTTCCCTGGCCTTATCTTATAGTTAGGACAGCCTTATGCCTATCCCACGCATGCTTAAACTCCTTTACTGTGTTAACCTCTACCACTTCTGCTGTAAGGCTATTCCACGCATCCACTACCCTCTCAGTAAAGTAATACTTCATGATATTATTTTTTAAACCTTTGCCCCTCTAATTTAAGACTATGCCCTCTTGTTGTGGTAGTTTTTTCTTCTTTTACTGTATATACTCGAGTATAAGTCGACCCAAATATAAGGAGAGACCCCTAATTTTACCCAAAAAAACTGGAAAAACGTATTGACTCGAGTATAAGACTAGGGTGGGAAATGCAGCAGCTACTGGTAAATTTCTAAATAAAATTAGATCCCCCCAAAATTATATTAATTGACTATTTATTTACAGTGTGTGTATATAATGAATGCAGTGTTTGTGTATATAATGAATGCAGTGTGTGTGTGTATATCATGCAGTGTGTTTGTATGAATGCAGTGTGTGTGTGTGTGTATGAATGCAGTGTGTGTTTGTATGCAGTGTATGTGTGTGTGTATGAATGCAGTGTGTGTATGTGATGCAGAGCCTTGGTGGGGGGTGGGCATTTTTATAATTTTTTTTTATTATTATTATTATTTTTTTATATTATTAATATTTTTATTTTAATATTATTTAAATTTTTATTTATTTATTTTCGTCCCCCCTTCCTGCTTGTTAACTGGCCAGGGAGGGGGGCTCTCATTCCCTGGTGGTCCAGTGGATGGGCTGTGTAGGATCTAGGTCTAAGGGTAGACAGGACAAGGACACTTGCTAATTACATACAAAGCAATTACTCTAATTATCCAGGAACAGATAAGCATTTCCTTTTTAGTTTAAATGCTTGTACAGGAGATTCTTTCAGCTATGTTCTACTAATAGTCTGCCTCTGCGATGCCTATATCTTCCTAAGATTATTATACAGAAAGGCAATGTTATAAGCAAGTGCATAGTTTGTGACAGTACATCAATTTCTTTAACCAATCACTAACAGCGTTTAACATGTGCAGGTGCCAATTCTGGATGAAAATCTAAGTATACCGCCTCTCCAGATATTAGTAATTAAGGCATTTCAAGAATCCTTATGGACCAGTCTTTAGATTCCTTCCCTATTTGCACAGCTTGATTGCTAGGTGACGATCTATAAAATAAGTTGAATTGGAGAATTTTCCCATTTTGGCTACTTGAACCTTAAATTTGAATTCCTGGCAATTCATCTGGCTATTTGATAAACAGCCACACCATTTTAAGCATGACACCCATTTTTTTTAAAGATCTTAATATGATCTAAATATTACCTGTCAATGTCAGTCTTTGAACCAATAAGAAATCTAGAACGGAAAAGAAAAAAAGTTAATAAACAAGTCCGTTTGTTGAACTATTTGCACTTCATTTAAAATGCCGTAGGTATATAGCTAATGAAGCAGATGATGTTCTAACACATTGCTATCTGCAGTTCACAAAAGGCTGGCTGTACTACGGAAGCTTTAAGAAAAGCTTTAAAAAAAAAAAACTATGTTACCCATACAAGGTTTAAAAAACACTAGTATTTTAGAGCTAGCTCCATAAGGTCTAAAACAAAGTTACAGCTTCACATAGCAGTAGATAATGCCAAATAGTGATAATAGTTTAGGGGAGGAGTGACCTAGCTTACCGTCCCTCTGCATCTCATGGATGAAATCACTTTGGCAGAATTTGTATGCTAGGTAAAGGTCAGTGCTAAAGCAGAGGCTTCTTTGTTTTTATAAAAAAAAAAATTAAGATAGTCAGGGTAGGGGTAGGGAGGTCTGCTTGTGCAGAATCCCCTACTCTGAATATAACACACCAAAGAGACACTCCAGTGATGTCTCATAGAAACATAGAATGTGACGGCAGATAAGAACCATTCGGTCCATCTAGTCTGCCCAATTTTCTAAATACTTTCATTAGTCCCTAGCCTTATCTTATCATATAGTTAGGATAGCCTTATGCCTATCCCACACATGCTTAAACTCATTTACTGTGTTAACCTCTACCACTTCAGCTTGAAGGCTATTCCATGCAGCCACTACCCTCTCAGTAAAGTAATACTTCCTGATATTATTTTTAAACCTTTGCCACTCTAATTTAAGACTATGTCCTCTTGTTGTGGTAGTTTTTCTTCTTTTTCTCGGGGCTTAACCCCTATTTGTCTATAAAATTGGTTTCAAACTCCTACTTCCTGTGAGAAAGGAAAAAGCCTGACGCGCGTTTCGGTGCACGAACGTGTGCACCTTCGTCAAACCCTTTCTCACAGGGCACTTTAACACATGGTGTAGAAAACCTGCATAAGCATGGTTTCGTTTGATTAGCACTTTATCAAGGTTTTTGCAATTTTTTTTCCTCTGACTGTCTAGCGAGTTTACAAGGGAGAGAGGCTTTTCTAATTCTATCTATGTATGTGGATATCTAATGATCGCTAGAATAAGTTGAATTACTTTGAATTCATGAACTAGGAAGATCCTCTTAGGACCACAAAAGACTCTTTGAAATAGAGACAGCAAATTAGAAATATATTTTAGAGCTTCAGGGGCAAAACTACATCTGCAAATATAAATGGGATTAGATTGTTTAAGCAATTGTTGCCAACTATAATTTTTGACGTTACACCATTGATAGATTGTGACTATGTCCAAGACCAATTTGTACAGAAACTTGGCTCCTTTTTCTGCTTAATTGCATCAAGTCTATATGTGATCCTCCCATGGGGATTCTTTTATAGAATCGTACTGACACAACCCAGGAAAAGTGAGATTGTAGACTTTAAGATTACACGTAATCCTTTAATAGCTCTATATTAATTTATTTATTTTTTCTTTGCAGAGTTTTGGGTATTATGCCTTCTGTTCCCTGTATCCTCAATTACAATACTCATTTAATTTGATTGATTACTATCCGACCCCCCTACATAGACAAAATACAATAAAATCTGAAAGTTAGGGGCACTGGATATATGTTTATACTTGAGTAGTAAGAGGCGTTGCCGTTTAGGCTTTGGATTTTGAATCTGACCACAACTACAATTTGGGTGTAGCGTTCTAATTAATAATATATACATTTTAATCTTTCCTCCAGGTTACACCTACATACAGAGCTTTCTCTCTGGAAGTAGGAGTTTGAAACCATTTTCTTTGTTTTTATACATGTTACTAAAACCAGCCCTGTGTAAGCACTGGTTGAGGGACTCAGGCATACGTTTTGCTAACATGCAAATATCATATACAGATAATCTTGGAATACTTGTTAAAATATAAAAAGGTACAAATAGCTTTCACTAAGTAGGTTATGACTGTCATTGGATCCTAAGCCAGTCCCTCCTGACCCAGCAACAGTCCAGGTTTAGTCAGTATCTCCATTTGAACAGAAAAGAGAAATACATAAATCACAGACTGTTGCTGGGTCACGAGGACTGGCTTGGGAACCATTACTCTATGTAATACATAGGTTTTCACAGAACTCACTGAGATGGAGATAAACGGTTTTCACTTTCTTCTTCGGTTTTGTAGGTCTGTAATTTTCCATAGTACAAAGGATTGCCCTTATTTTGAAAAACAGTGAGTTTTGCTTTCTGAAATGGGCTGCCACTTTCCAGTTCAAATAGGTAGTCTTCTTTCATTTCCTACAAATGAAAAGTAAACCAATCTTACGGAGGGGGTTGTAAACAAAAATACATTTCATAAAAGTTGATGTTTGCCTAAAATAGTTAGTTACTTCTTATAATAAAATGAATTACAGTTAATTAAAACTAACTATATATGATACCTGCATCCATCTACATTGCCTTATAAGAAGATTAATAATTCACGGTTACTTTATTCACATCATGTCTTTAAAGAATGCGTAAGAGTCATTGTACCAAAAATCTTTTTGGACATTTCATCTGAATCAAATGGCTTTATTCAACATCTGGACAAATCGATCATTCAGGATTTACCTGTGGTGTTTTTTTATTATTTATCCCGGGAGATTGATTCGTTGATGCATGGATTAAAGGGACACTAGAGTCACCAGAGCAACCACAGCTTAATGTAGTTGTTCTGGTGAGTATAATAGCTCCCTTCAGGCATTTTCATGCAAACACTGCTTTTTCAGAGAAAAGGCAGTGTTTACATTGCCCCTAGGGACACCTCCAAGTAGCCACTGGAGGGGCTTCCTGGCTCAAGGCTGCACAGTAACCCTGCGGTTCAGCGTCCCCACGCTTTGCATGGAGACACTGAATTTTCCTCAAAGAGATGCATTGATTCAATGGGAAAGCATTGGATTGGCCATTTTGATGATGTAACAAAGGGTGCGGAGCCAGCGACGGCAGACCCGCACGGCGCTGGAAATAACGTGTGTTTTAAACTTTTATTGGGGGGAAGGGGGGCAAGCAACCTAAATGGTGGGTTGAACACTATAGGGTCAGGAATACATGTTTGTGTTCTTGACCCTATAGTGACCCTTTAAGTAGATCGGAAGGAAGGTGCACTTGTGGAGAAAAACAACATAAAGTTCTGACAGGACAGAAATTGAGAAAGATAACCTAGTATGGAATTCTGTCCAAGTTCAATTAATCAGAGGGTAGATTATGCCCATAATAACACAGTAATATCAGTAAAGATTATTATTTCTATAATTTTTTAAAGGAAGAGGGGATAAGGAATAATTTAAAATAGCTTACCATTGCATTGTATTTCATAAAGTAAAATGCTTACAATAGCTATATGGCAGATAGACAGTGGTACTAAAAGTATATTTCTTACACCTGTCAGGTATTAGGTAAAAAAAAAAAAAAGGCAACTCGAAACTTAATTAAGTTAAACTTAATTCTGCTTACGTGAATAACCCCTAAAAGCTGCTGATTGTTATTATTTTTATTGTGTTTAATGCAATTTTTAGAAAGAGGGGAGGGGAAAGGGAATAATTTAAAATAGCATCTGAATTATTTACAAATTAAAATAGACTTTTCGGTTTTAAGAAGTGAATAACCCACTCTCCATTAAGCTTCTAATAGGGCTAGAAATGAGCAGTTACATATTTTAAAGGTCAGTTCTTCCCACAGTAAGATAAGCATTGTTTTGTCATATGTCTCTTCTTTCTGAAGGTCAGCCTTCCATACCTACGCCTTGCTTCTAACTTAGGTGTTTGCTGACCTTGCGTAGCAGAGACAGCCAATTAATATTTTGCCATTGTAATAGGGAAATACTTAAATAGTAAATATATAACCACTTCAGTTACACAATCAGAATTTTTAAAAGCATGGACATCTTGATGAGGAAAAAAAACCCTCCAAAAACTATAACCAGGTTTCGATAATGAATTTAATTATAGTAAAAATAATGTCAGTCGAGGTTCATTGTGTGTACGCGAATGACTGGTGATCTTGCCACATTCATTATGAATAATTACAAATTATATAAATGTTATGAATGCAGTTGTTGAAAATCTAGGACAGCTAGAGCAGCTCAGGAACAATGAACGCAAAAAGGGAAATGCTTGAAATTGTACCTTATGTGTGTGTTGTGTTTCCACACACCTTGTTTGAACTGCCAGATCTTCTGTAGAAAGAAGAAATATTCTGTAGCAGAACAGAGTGATTCTGGCCAAATGTGCATTGCAGGCACATCGAGGTGACAACAGCTGAATAGGACCACATTTATCAGTCATTCTTTCCAAGCTGGCTTCTCAAACTCCAGCCCTCTAGATGTTGCTGATCTGCAATTCCTGTGGTTCTCTAGACATCTCTTTAAGTGTTTTCCAAACCAGTCCTAAAGACCCACCAACAGTCCAGGTTCTGTCAGTATCTCCATTGGATTACAATAGGGAAATACATAAATCCTGGATTGCTGGTGGGCCGTGAGGACTGGTTTGGGAACCACTGATCTATTGCATTCAAAGAATTCTAGGAGTTGTAGGCCATCACAGTGCGGAGTGCACGGATATAGGATTTGTTGATGCTACGTGTCATAAAATCCTACCAGTACCAGGTAAGGGGCTATTACTGTGCACAACTAATGATCATAGTCTAGTCTGATCTACATATTATTTTATATTTTTACCCACAAGTAAATCCCAAATAATAATAAAAAGCTGTCTTTTTCCTATCTATCAAAGTACTTCCACTGGGTAACATATTCAAATGATTTGGATCCGTGTAAATCCACGTGCGCTTCAAAAGATGTAATAACCTGCGATGTCCCTCTCTAATTCATCTTAGAGCTTGTGAAATGGGCAAACACCCACACACATATCTGTGCTATGAAGTGAGGTGAACAGAGTTTTCAAGCTTCTTTTGTTTTTTTTGTTTTTTACTGAGAAGGAATGATTTGGAAATCCCTTCTGCTATTATTCTGCATCAAACACACATGCTAAGAAAATTTAAGGCTTAGAAAAAAAAAGAAGTAGATTTCATTTTGGACTTCCATACCATTAAATGAACGAGTTTGTTAAGCTTACATTACAGTTTTACTCTGCTGGCAGAATGGATAATATAAGGAGAGAATCATAGCACTGCTGGAATAAAATGTGGATTATATAAAGATCCTCTGGAAGGTCTTCTTGCCAGCTAAACTCATACTACACACATGCATCTTACACAAGACAAGAAAAATATTGGCAAAAGGATTTAATTACTCACATCTGCTGGCCAGACAGTAGGTTGTGAGTCGTCAGGTTTGAAAGATTTTTCCACTTTGGCATATTTTTCGACCTAATAAATGGAAAGGGAGGAAAACGTTTGCCCATTTCTCTAGCATTGCATTTTAACAATGTTTAACGAATATCCAACTTACTGCATTCAAACACAAAACGCATTTATATTTTGGAAAGAAAAGAAAAGATTTGGTTGTGTTTAAAACCTTTTTACTAGGACAGTAATGACAAAATTATATGGAAGTCTATGCCTGATAATCGGCGCAGACCACTAATAGTTTATTAGATTTGTGGGGTAATAAGTCAATTTGATCTTGACATCTTTCTAGTAAGGCTTCAAGTAAATGTGTAATGAAGCTGCTGATTAAGGTAAAATGAATGTAGATCTGCCTTGGTGCAAACAAGGTTGGAAGCCATTGCACTGGCCTTAAGGCTTAATCAGGTTTTGAGAGTGCTGTCACTGCTAGGTGCAATTTATTAATTCAGTTTTAAACCTATGCTGTACAAATGATTTATTTTGCAATAATAGTAGCAGCTATTATACCATATTTTTCTATTTTATTTGGTGTTTCCTGTCTTAATATTTCTTTTTTTTAATCATGATAATGATCTATCGAAATCCATGACAACAAAATGATGTCATTTATGAATGAACTGAACACATTTTCAAAATTGATTAGCTGAATGATTGCTAGAAATTGTATTTTTATTTTTAACAAATGGCTTAAAATTAATTTTTGCACATGTTTAATACCTAGCATGCAAATCCAAATTATACTCCTGGAATTAAGTGTTTAACTTGTATTTTCTCTGAACGAAATAAAGAAACAAGCAAATAAATACATAACAAACAAAAACCCACACACATTTTAAATCAGGATTGGAATTTGGAAATATCTGATACCAAATATTTGCCAAAAATAATTTAAAGCTTGTTATGAGGGTTTGAATCTACAACTTGTACATAATTTCTAATATGAAATAAAATTGCTATAATAAATATATATATATATATATTTTTTTTTTTACAGTAAATGACTTGCACACACACACACACACACCCTCCCACCCCCCCACTTACATCCACTTCTGATGGTGCCGTCAATGTGCATGGGGCTTGTCTCCAAGTGTCGACACACTGAAAAAGCCAGACAAAGCATTGTTAATATTATTACAACTATTTATTTTGCTTAGTTTTATCTGTTTTAGAATATCAGCCATTCACATACATTTCCGATTTTTGATATTTTTAGGTCATACTGCGGAGTGGTGGTTTTCCTTTCTTTTCTTTTCTGCAGGTAGTCCAGAAGTCTGAGCTGTGTTGGTGGGAGGCTGTTTGATATCTCCTGCTGTCTGTTCAGGGATGGCCTTGAAAACCTCTTCAGACACCTTGAAAATGGTAACAACATCATCGTGAAATTTAATTACGTGTTTATTATCGATATCTTGATCCCCTGAAAATCCCACCATAACAAGCTTTTCAAGTAAAGTTAAAAAACATAGCTGTACATTTCCTGCCATGCCTCTCTTCGCTTTGACAATAGTAGACAAAGGTGTGTAGATATGATGAGAAACTATTTGCATGAAAACATACAGGCATCTGACAAACAAGAAGTAAACCAAATTACAACTAATGTTTGCAGATTAATTCCTGGAGTGTTCATTTATGACTAGAATCAGGGGTGATATCATGAATATAACCCTTTAATCCAGTCTGCTTCTTCCCTATATCTGCTAGCTTGGACTCTGCTGGAAAAAAAATCTGAAAATTCAGCTCTAATCGCTATGCTGAAAACATATGGGTGCAAATTGCTACAGAGTGGGCTACAACTGCATTCAAAATTACTTGCTTGCAATCTCACAATAAAAGGAGTGTACAGTGATGGACATTCACAATACCATGCCTGTGACCCTGGAATCCAGTGTGCATGGAAGTGTGTAGATCATGCTTAATATCTGCTCAGGGGATTGTAGGATTGCTAATTTGACTAGTGTAATCCTTTATTTTCTCTTTTTGAAGTAGAGCAGATCTTGCTACGCATGCATTTGTGAAAGCTAGGAAGCCCCAGTTGTGCATTGCTAGTTAATAGTAGAGCATTTCAGCTGATCAATCCAAGCCAGTGAAATAAGACCACAGTGGTTAGCTCAGTGAAGAGAGCTTCTGACTGTCAGTGGATCACAGGTAAAATCAAACCGATAGCACATGGTCTGACTACTTACATTGGCGGATGTGAGGGCCCTCCTGGCACCATAACCACTACAGTGCCCTGCAATGATTATGGTGCTTGGAATGTACCATAGTGATTAGAGCTGAATTTTCAGGAGATTTTTTCAGCAGAGTAAGCTAAACTTGGTACAATTGTCATTTGTAATATTTACTTGCAATCCATGTGAGGCAGGGCCTTTGAATCTTATACATCTGCCAGTTTGCACTAGTATTCTCTACCTTACACATCATCCACAACTGACAAAATAAAGAGGTGCTTCAAAATATTTTACATAGGACATGGTGCATAAAAATAATCACCAAGTTTCAAAACCATTGTATTGTATAAAAACTGAATCCTAAATAAAGCAACAAAGCTCTTAACCCCTTAAGGACCAAACTTCAGGAATAAAAGGGAATCATGACATGGCACAAGTCATGTGTCCTTAAGTGGTTAAAGGGACACTATAGTGACCAAAATAATTTTAGCTTTAATGAAGCAGTTTTGGTGTACAGATCATGCCCCTGCAGTCTCACTGCTCAATTCTCTGCTATTTAGTAATTAAATCACTTTGTTTATACAGGCCTAGTGATATCTCCCTGCATATGTCTTGCACAGCCTTACTAAACACTTCCTATAAAAAAAAAAAAAAAAAGTCATATAATGTTTATATTTCATTTATTGCATATTTAGTTCAATTTAGAATTTCGTATCTCCTGCTTTGTTAATAACTTGATAGACCCCGCAGGAGCCTCCTATATGCAATTAAAGTTCAATTTACGGAGCAGGAAATACAAACTTTTAAAATAAGTAACCTCTGATTGAAAATTAAACCATTTTTTCATGCAGGCTGTGTCAGTCACAGCCAGGAGAGGTGTGGCTAGGGCTGCATAAATAGAAGCAAAAGTGATTCAATGCCTAAATGGCAGATAATTGAGGAGTGAGACTTCAGAGACATTATCTATACTCAAAAACTGCTTCATTAAGATAAAGTTAATTTGGTGACTATAGTGTTCCATTAAAGGACCACTATAGTGCCAGGAAAACAAACTCATTTTCCTGGCACTATAGTATTAATAGGTCCCCCCCACCCTCATTGCCCCCCTCCCGCCGGGGGGGAGGAAGGGGTTAATCCCTTACTTTTCTCCAGCGCCAGGATCCCTCGGCGCTGGGGAATCTCCTCCTCCTTCCGAGAGCCACGCGCGCATTCAGTCAGTCCATAGGAAAGCATTCTCAATGCTTTCTTATGGACGCTGGCATCTTGTCACTGTGAAAATCACAGTGAGAAGCGCGGAAGCGCCTCTCGTGGCTGTCAATGAGACAGCCACTAGAGGCTGGATTAACCCTATTGTAGACATAGCAGTTTCTCAGAAACTGCTATGTTTACAACAGGCAGGGTTAAACCTAGATGGACCTGGCACCCAGACCACTTAATTAAGCTGAAGTGGTCTGGATGCCTATAGTGGTCCTTTAAGTGCAAAGACTGGGCTGACACTGCACCATTTCAATTAATGCTAAATTAAGGCTGTATCGTATAAATGTTTGTGTCAAATTATCACAATGTGCAATGCAGTTAAAAAACTACTTAGGATGAGATTTATCAAAGCAAAACAGGTGCAATTCTGGGTGAAAAGTGCTACATGTTTAGAGATATGCTATTGGTTTCCACTGTGATTGCTCCATATTTACTAATCTGGCATAGATATATATCCCTCTAGCTATATAGTGACATCTTACACATATATTTATTTATACACACTTCATTCTTACAGACATTTGGCCATTAGAGGGCACTGTGAACTAAGTGAATAAATATTAAAACAAATGGCGTAGTTCACTAGTAGATAGATCCCTCTAAAGCTGTTTTTTAAATATACACTAGCAACCCACTGCAGGAGGATTTCAATGATAAATCTAATTAATGTGAACTGCTAAAATGCTGGGGGTAAAGAATGGGATAAAAGTGAAGGATATTCTAGGATGTCATCGTGATGTATAATACAGGGCACTAAAAAATAATAGGGAGGTTTTAAAATTTATGGTTCTCAAGATGTGCACTATGAAACCATCAAGTAATATATACCAATGCAAGACTTTGGTGTATTACTTTCTACTTCTCTGCATATTAAAAAATGTAGATGCTCAGCTATCTAAACAAAAAGTAACTAAAACGACTAAAGGCCAGGCATGGAAAGTTAAAAATAAAATAGTAAAATGTAATAATGTAAATTCTATTTAAATAAAAAAAATTGTACTGGCCCACAAATAACATGTACTTATAAATAGAGCCTTCTAAAGTTAAAGGGATACTATAGTCACCCTGACCACTTCGGCTCAATGAAGTGGTCTGGGTGTCAGGTCCCTCGAGGGTTAACCCTGTCTGATATTATGCCTCAATCACGCAGAGCGTCCATAGGAAAGCATTGAAAAATTCTTTCCTACAGACACTTTGAATGCGCGTGCGGCAATGCCGCGCATGCGCATTCGGCGCCGGTGACGTCAGACAAGGATGCTGACGTCGGCGGGGGAGGAGAGGTAAGGGAGCCCGGCGGGGGAAAAGGGTGAGTAGCTGAAGGGGGACCCTGAGGGTGGGGGCACCCTCAGGGTACTATAGTGTCAGGAATACCGCTATAGTGTCCCTTTAAGTGCTGCGAACTCTACTTGGGCGAGCCTTCACCTCAATAACTCTAATTTAAAAACAAACCAAAAAAAGTGAATAAAGAACGATATACAACAAAATATTTTCGCAATAATGATATAACAAAATTTGTAGATCTTGTTTAAAGAACTCAAAATTGAATACTCCTGGTATTTCACAGTGGGCTGTTTAGATGGACCACTTGGTTATAATATGGCATACCTATGAAAAACAAACAAAAAAACATTTAAAGGGACTCTCCAGTGCAAGGAAAACAACCGTTTTCCTGGCACTGCAGGTCCCCTCTACCTCTCACCCCCCCATCCCAGGTTGCTGAATGGGTTAAAACCCCTTCAGTGACCTCGGCGCTGGGTTAGGGTCTGCCCACGCTCCTCCCCCGCCGTCAACCGGCGGGGTAGACCTATTGAGCATGCGCGGCCTGCGGCGGAGGAGACCTAAATGCTTTCCTACAGACACTATGAATGCGCGCGCGGCAGTGCCGCGCATGCGCATTCGGCGCCGGTGACGTCAGACAAGGATGCTGACGTCGGCGGGGGAGGATAGGTAAGGGAGCCCGGCGGGGGGAAAGGGTGAATAGCTGAAGGGGGACCCTGAGGGTGGGGGAAAACCAAGCGGTTTTTCTGAACCACAGTGTCCCTTTAAATGCTGCGAACTGTATTTGGACGAGCCTTCACCTCAATAACTCTAATTTAAAAAAAATAATAATAATAAAAAAAAAAGCGTGAGGACGTCCAGCGACGTTATAGCACACTTTAGTTTCTATGAACACGGAAGAGTCCTCTAGTGGCTGTCTAATAGACAGCTACTAGAGGAGGACTTAACCCTTCAAGGTAAATATTGAAGTTTATGAAAACTGCAATAATTACACTTGCAGGTTTAAGGGTGGTGGGAGTTGGCACCCAGACCACTCCAATGGGCAGAAGTGGTCTGGGTGCCTGGAGTGTCCATTTAACACTATGGTGTGTCTCTAGCTGAAAATAATTTATCCAGAGCAACAAAGGTAAAGAAATTGTAATGTTACTATGTTGTCTCAGGCCACAAAATCTCAACTACTGCCCAGATTAAAAGAGTAACAGCACAACCCAAAAAACAAACTAACATGCATGTTCTACATTGAAATGATTTTTAGGGTTTAAACAGGTTTCTAAATGTAAAAAAAACAAACAAAAAACATTCCAGATATTATAAGGAGCATAACAAAATAAGGATTTCCAAATTAAACCTGTCAGAATGCCAAAGATCACTTAGTGGAAAAAATGTAAGCTTTTTTTTCCCCCAGCTGACATGGGACTGGCAATAAGAGAATAGTTTGATGTCAGTTATCTATATGAGATCATTTGACAGAGGAGATAAATATGGGCTTACTTGAAGTCTCTTAAGAGATAATAAGAGAAAATATTTTGCCAAAGCCTGTGCCGGCAATAACTACATGACAACTGCATCAAATCCACAATATTTCCTAATCATCCTACGCAAGGAGAGCATAATATGCTGACAGATAACACAACTGCAGTAAATTATAATCAGTTTTGAAGCATTTATATGTATGGTAGGCTTTTACTCGCCAATCCTACTGGGAATTTGAGAATTCTACATTTTTATTTTTTTTTTAAATTCTTTATTTTATTTGTGCATGGAATTTCACATAGAGCGCACCGTGCCACAATAACCAGAGTATGCAGAGTTAAACAAAGGTTTACGTTAGTTAGGTAGTGGAAAAAACTTTGCACATTTTTAAAAAAATTTTAAACACTTAACAACGAGTTATATCTAGGTTGATTGTTGGTAAACAATAGAAACTGGATTAGCGTAAGATAGGCAATAATGGTGTTAGAGAACATTGCAGGTTAGTTGTTCAAGCTTACGTTACTATATTCATGGACTAGGAAGTCCTGCAGAGGGTAGCTTAGGCAAGCTAAGTAGACTGGTATTGTTAGAGAGATGAACCACAATATGCCTTCATTGATATAGGGCACAAGAGTAAATATGAAAGGTCACAGGCAATATGACAAATACAAAAAGCGAAGGCCATGTCAAAAAGTATTATGGCTGCAGGATTGTGTACAATTTTTATAGGTAGGCATAGGTTAGGTAAGTAATAGTATGTGGTCTAACAGCTGATTCTATCTCATAGCTAACTGTATCAGGCTAAACTGTAAGTACCCAAATAAACTGCTTACATAGTGTAAGTTATGTGAACATGCTAGAGTAATCTGCTTGGGATAGGGCCCATAAATCCCATGAAGATAAAAAGTGGTGACTCGTAGCTGAGAAAGCCACCGGGCCCGGTGACCCTGCTAGGTCACTGTTACTAGTTGCACATATAGAATGGAGAGAGTAAAGAAAAGTGAGAGTGCACCGCGAGCAATTCCCCTGTGTGGATGCTGTTGTGCAAGGTGTTGTGCTGGATCGGAGTTGCCAGTAGTAGGAGCGATGTTGCATACCTACGGGGGAGACAATATATATGTATATAGTGTGAACGAGAAAAAAATAAAAAAATAAATAATTATATTCATAAGGGGGGGGGAACCGTGGCGGATACCTTCCTCCAATCTAAGGGAGGTTAATGAGCGGTATATGCTCAGCTTGTGAGTGGGTATGTGGGTTTAAGGGCCTTGTGTGGATCGGGCTGCCAGAGTGCGTGGGTCCAGTACTGGGCCTGTGATAGGCTGTCTCTCATAAAGTCAGGTCTTGGCTCTGTCCTGTAAGCCCTGGGCGGCCTGTCTGGGTACAAATTCCGCCGTAGTTTCCGGGTTCCAGCCGTGGGTTGGTCGCTGTGCTGCCTCCGGTGCTTCGGTGTGGAGGAGGTGTTGGGGAATGCCCAGTTTCTGCAGGAGCGTTTTGGCTTCTTGGAGGTCTCGGATGATGTGAGTTGTAGTCCCATGAGCGACTGACAGGGCACGTGAGGGTCGCCATCTGTAGTTAAGGTTATGCTTCTGTAGGAGGATAGTAAGCGGCCGCAGCTCCCGACGCCATGCCAAGGTGCTGCTGCTCAAATCCGCATAAAAGGTTAGGTCCATGCCTTCGAAGGAGTAAGGTGAGTTGCCGCGTAGTGCATTTAAGAGGGTTGCTTTGTCTCTCCCTTTAACGAATTGTACGATCAAGTCCCTCGTGGCAGAGGTTGGTGCCTGGGCAGGTTTGGGCACCCTGAATATGCCCTCTATCTCTAGTGTTTTGGACAGTTTGGGTGTGAGCAGGGCCGCAAGTAGTCTCCTTACCACGTGCGGGAGCTCCGCTTCGGGTACGTTGTCGGGGACCCCCCTGACCTTTATGTTATTCCGACGGCGGGAGTCTTCAAGGGCTGCAAAGCGCCTTTCATATGAGCCGTTGAGTGTTCGCAGGTCTCGGACCTCCTGCTGGAGGGTGGTGATCTGCTGTTTGGCTGAGAGTGAGGTGGTTTCTAAGGCTCCCATCCTGCCAGTCAGGCCTTTCAAGTCTTGGCGTATCGTGGCCATGTCTGCCTGGAGGTTCTTTTGTAAATCCGCCAGCAGTTCTTTCAAGAGTGCGGCCATCACAGGAGCGGGGTCCGGCTGTGTTGTCGGGATCCGCGGCGGGGGAAGCGCCGTAGCAGGTGTGTAGCCCTCATCGGATCCACAAGAAAAGTCGTCCGAGAGGTCTGAGCAATCCCCAGCAATGGCCGCCATCCCAGGCCCTTGAGCGCCACGAGCCTGCCGCCACATCTCTCCTATGTTCATGCCCATTCGGGGCGCTTCTTGTCTCGCTTTTTTTGTTTTTTTCCCCATCTGGGTTCAGGGCTCCCGGGGGAGCTGTCGGGCCCTGTTGGTCCGGTCTGGGTATCAGAAAATAGGGTGTTTATCAGCTTTGCGGCCCGGAGCTCCAGACGCATGCGACCGTCCGCTTTGGCAGTCAGACTCCGCCCCCGAGAATTCTACATTTTAATATGCGAGTGTATGACATATCTTATTCTTTTACTAATCACATGTAAATGAATGTTCCTAACACCATAATCACTACAGCACGTGTGTGTGGTAGTTATGGTGCCATGAGTGCCCCGGCGCTCTCCTATTGAAAGCAGCCATGCCATTTTAGAATGGTTTGACTTCTTACCTGCCTTCTCTCAGAGGACAAGACAGTTGAAAGTTACTGTTTAGAAGCATAGTTGGCTCTCCTAGGCTAAGCCCAGCTGTGAAAAGCCAGTTAATTGGTTTAGAGTGCCAAACTGACCACTTTTGCGCAATGAGCCCTGGCTAGTGAAGAGGCAGGAAGCGTCATACACTAGGTAAGACGTCAAACGGTTCGCAGGAAAACATCTCTGATATGCAAACTAGTAAAGTGGCACTTAACAAAAAAAAACTATTTTTAAATGTAACTGCAGATATGATGGTGGCTTCATTAGGAAACTCGGACCAAAAACAGGTTTGCTTTTGCAAAGATAAGTCTGACAGGACATAAGTGCTAAGTAAGCATGGCTGGTATTGCTTTACTGGGATCTCTACTCCGGATTTAAGCTATCTCTGCTTTTGTTCACTTTTTGCGCTCTGGGGGATCAAAAGCAGCCACAGCTCTGCATCAGATTGAATGTGATAGCTTTGGTCTTTTCTTCATCTCAACTACCATATTGGTTTCCAGGAAATAAATAAAGCCTGCACTGCACATAGATGTCAACAAGAGGCAGAGAAAAAAAGAAAATCAAAGCACAACCAAAAACAACACATCCTTACCGTTTCATTGGGAATGTGTTCATCTTCTGCTTGTTGAACAAAAGGCGGTTTGCAGTGCAGGTGACCGATATAGAAGGATCAAGACATAAAGGCTCAGCTGTTGCCAAGATTAACTGGCTCTCTAATAAAAGCTTGTCTTCCTATACATCGAAAAAGACAGTGCATGGTATGATTTGCATTGAAGCAATTCTCATTATTTTAGTAAACACTCAATATAACCTTACATTTGGAAAAACAAAAACAAGGTTTTCTACAAATGAATTGAAATGCTAGACTATAATTTACGATCACATTTGATATAAATACATGTGGCCCTTTCCAGCTGGGAGTTATATTCACCAGAAACGCTGTTTTAAAAGCAAGTAAGCTTTTATACGAAAAAGTCTTATCACATTTACTAAACCAACTCAAGCTGCTATAATACATCACTGGAGACACACTCTGCTATCTGATTTGATGCTTTATATACCCATGTTTAATGTTTGTTTTTCTTCCAAAATGTGCCCAGTTATTGTTGTGTAAGTACCGTTTAAAGGGACACTCCAAACACTACGATCACTATAGCGATACTTAAATTTTTGTTTAATGAACACTCTAACATTAAAAACAAATATATTATTTGTTTCTTTCTTCAATTACTTGGGCCCCCCTTTGTTTAAAAAATAAATAATAGAAAAAAATATGAAATATATATATATATATATATATATATATATATATATATATATAAAATTATCTGTAATCCAGTGCCAGGACAGTCTCCTTTCTGAAAATAATTCAAAGTCCCTGAGAGCCCCTGACGCGCATTTCGCCCACAACTCATCAGAACTGAATATGTTCAGAACTGATGAGTTGTGGGCGAAACGCGCGTCAGGGGCTCACAGGGACTTTGAATTATTTTGACTTTTGTAACTACAATATCACTATTTATTACCGAGACAAATTTGTCTATCTCGGTCCCTGAGCACATATTCTGACGTGTATGCACTGAATAGCAAGTTTGGGGGTTCTTTATCATTAGGTGACGAGTACTTTTACTCATGATAGATTTCACGATTGGGACATAACACTCCTTTATTTGCTCCCACTCCAATTACGGCTTTGTTCTCTCCCCACAGATGCTGTTTACGTATTTGAGCATTATCAGTTGCTCTAAATGTTACATTATATTTCAGAGGCAGCTTATTCATTGGAACATGACTAGCAGTTATATAAAGTGTCACTTTATATTTCACTTATGAATTGTCTCTGTAACATAATAATTATTTTTGTAACATTTTTATAGCTACAACATTACTCTTACTTTCTGTGATTGCAAAACTTAGTTTTGCTAATTCATTTTGGGATTGGATCTCTGAAAACTTCTGAACAGAACCTCCCAACTATATTATTTACTATTTTTAGCTTTGAGTCTATATATATATATATATATTGTTTATTGGTTATTTACCTCTATCACTATATTTTGGGGGGCAATTTCCATTAGTTAGATATACTATTCTTTTCATTATACATTTATTTCTGATTAGGACTCCGTACTTTTAGTATTTGGACATTTATCCTTACTATTTTTAATGAATTTATTAAAAGTTATATTTTAATTATTAGGTCACTCGTCTCTCTCTTCCCTTTTTTTCTTATTATTATCGCTTAGGCGAATGGGTTAACCCCTTTATGAGTGATCCTATAGCTTCCTTCAGCTCAGTTGTTTTTTTTTTGCTTAGAATAGAATATTTCAATAAATCATGCTGGATGGTCACGTATAATGACGGCAGTGTGCAGTTATGCAATGTCCATAAAAAAGGATGACTTACCTGTGTCCACTTATGGTTGTCACTAGTTATAGCATGTATATCTGAAACCAAAGTCTGCAAGCACAAAAAAAGGAATTAAATAAGATAAAGCAGAATCAAACAAACCTAAAAGCTGAAATGACTAAGAAGAACAATAACAAGCTTTAATTAATAACAAAAAAAACATTGTTGCTATACATGTCACATGAACAAAATGAATCTCCATTTCCAAAACAGATAGGTTTGAAGAAAATATAAATTTTAACTTTGCTGGAATGATTTACCCCTTTCAGTTAAAGTGGGTCGGTCATTCGTAAGGTTAAAGGGATGCTGTAAGCACCATAATGACTACATCTACAGCCTTTTGCTTAACGGATTGTTTATATGGGAGTTACACATTTGCATTAGCAATATACAATTTTGCCAAGTTTGGATTAGATTTACTAGGTGGACGTGTTGACTAATAAAATTAAATATTTATTAACTTCTGACTTGCTTTGCAATTGGTGGAGTATGGGGGGGGAAAACATTTTCTAGACGATGACTATGTTATCTCACCACGCACAAGGAGTGGAAGATCCCATAAATGTGTAGGATTTTCCACAGGCCCGTGTTATGAGCACTCATTCATGTGCAAGAGTATAAAGATGACATTTCTCCTGGCAGCATCGTCTACCAGGCGTTGAAGAGGGGAGAATGGTGGAACTGAAAAATGTGAAAATGTCAGGTGAATAAATTTAATCCTTCCCTTCTCCTCCCATTGAAAGAAAATGTCACCTGGAGTGTTGGGGGGGGTGGGGGGGTCTTTACAAACTATTAGCTATTGAAATCTAGGTTTCCGAGTAGAACAAAATCTTCCAGAGAATAAAAAAAAATGTGCATTTTCAAACATTCTTTTATGGCAAAAGATTGATTATCAATTACTAAAAAATATTACGATACAGAATTTAAATATAGGAGATTTAACATAAACAGGTAAATGAAACTTGAAACCAAAAAGATTGCTCAAAAGCCATACTTTTTATGCTTTTTTATGATTCTGCTATGCTTGCATTTTTTATACTCTAGAGTCTCCATGGTTACTCAGTGAGGTTAAAAAAACAACAACATTTAGTGCCATGTGCATACCACATTCTTTAAAAGAGTTTACCTGAACAATTAAGGCTTGGGAGTAAAAAATGCAATTCTTCCGGGCAGTAACAGACTTTATGGACACATGATTTGTTGTTTTCACTTTGTACTCTTGCACATTGGATATAAAATATAATAATGACTTTTAAAATAATAAATTTTATTCTGACAATTTTATTTACATCAGGGAACCAGAAAGCTGTGTATGTATTAGTTACAGCTCTCTTTACACACTATAACTACATTTTAGGAAACCAAACATAACTGGATAAATTAACATAACCTCAAATATGATCAGGCATGGACTAATCACTGAGAAACTGGGCCAATGCCCAGTGTGCCAAGATGGTTTGAGGAGAAGATCAGTGAATCTCCCCAATTGGCGCAATAAATCACAGAAATAAACAACCCAATGGCCACCACTTTATATACTGTCTGCTTGCAGTTTCCCCCTCTCTTCCCTGTTGCCCCTTTTATAGCAGCAATGTGTGAGACTTCTTATATACAAAAAAAAAAAAAAAGAAAGCAGATCTGATGTCACAGTGTTAATGGCAGAACAATAAAATGCTTGCCTGCATGGTTGGACGTAAAAGAACATGTCTTGTCTGATACGTGGGTGATTTCAAGTTGCCAGACTGTCTGTAGTCACGAATTTCAGTTATGACACACCCACAATGGAAAATATTTACCTGTGTGAATGAGATATAGAGGGGGATAAAAAAAAAGGAGGAACAACAAGGTATAATAATACACGCAAGGATATTCACTATGGCATCTGTTTAATAAAATTGGATAAGCTTCTCAAATGATCACAATTTGATAGAAAAACGTTTCAAATGATTGATCTACAAAGATTTCCAAACACGTAAATGGTGACTTCTGCAGATAAATTATTTGAAAAGTTTTCTTTTCTAACAATTGTGATAATTTGAAAGGTTTATCCAAACGTTGGGATCGACCGATATTGTTTTTTTAGAGCCAATACCGATAATCTGTGAACTTTCAGGCCGATAGCCGATAACTCGCCGATATGCTGTACATTTACCATTTTGAAAAAATAAACTATTTCTAAAGGTAAATGCACAAAACATACATGCCACATGTAGGGGATGCAGTGTGTAGTGGATGCAGTGTGTGTTTGTGTAGTGTGTATATAATGAATGCAGGGTGTGTGTGTAGTGTGTATAGTGAATGGAGAGTGTGTGTGTAGTGTGTGTATAGTGAATGCAGAGTGTGTGTGTATAGTGAATGCAGAGTGTGTGTGTGTGTAGTATGTGTATAGTGAATGTAGTGTGCGTAAAGTGAATACAGTGTGTGTGTGTAGAGTGCGTAAAGTGAATACAGTATTTGTGTATAGTGTGCGTAAAGTGAATACAGTGTTTGTGTAGTCTGTGTATATAATGAATGCAGAGTGTGTGTTTGTATAGTGTGTGCATATAATGAATGCAGAGCGTGTGTATAAGATGCAGAGTGTGTGTAGTGTATGTGTGTATATAATGCAGAGTGTGTGTAGTGTGTGTGTATATAATGAATGCAGTGTGTGTTTATATAGTGTGTGTATATAATGAATGCAGTGTGTGTGTGTGTTTGTATAGTGTGTGTGTTTCTGAAGGGATGTAATTTGTGTAAAATGGGCAGGAGGGGAGGCATTTTTTATTTTAATATTTATATGTTTTATTTATTTTTTTGTCCCCCCATCCCTCGTGGCCAGAGAGGGGGGCTATAGCATTCCCTGGTGGTCCAGTAGCATGGACTGAGCAGTGGGAGGGCACGCAGCAAGCTGTTACTTACCTCCCAGCAGCTCCCTTCAGCTCTCCTGTGTAAATCTTTCGGTCTGCGTGTCGCGTGGAGCATTGCCATGGTAACCCGTGGCAACGCTCTGCGGCCGCAGGACACACGAGATTTGACATGGGAGATGAAGGGAGCTGCTGGGAGGTAAGTAACAGCTTGTTGCAGGCCCTGGTATGTATTATCGGCAATATCTGTATCCCTATTGGCCATTACCGATATTGCCGAAAATAACGCACATCGGACGATAATATCGGTAAAACCAATAATCGGTCGATCCCTATCCAAAAGTGTTAGGCAGTATCAGAAGCTGACAAGTGACATTCATATATTATGTCAAGGTAGCAGAAATGGAAGAACATTTGAATTGGATGAATTTCTATAACTTGGTTATGTTGGTCTAAATTGTGGATTACCAACAGCTCCTGATTTTGTAGTGCTATTACATCCTATAAACATTAAAGTTTTCTAGAAATGAAAGGACCACTATAGTGTCAGGAAAACAATTACAGTGAGAAGCGCGAAAGCGCCTCTAGCGACTGTCAATGAGACAGCCACTAGAGGCTGGATTAACCCTAGTGTAAACATAGCAGTTTCTGTGAAACTGCTATGTTTACAGCTGCAGGGTTAAAACCTGGGGGACCTGGCACCCAGACCACTTCATTGAGCTGAAGTGGTCTGGGTGCCTATAGTGGTCCTTTAATATTACAAATATCAAGTTTTGAAAATGATGAGGATGAGAAGATTAATTTATTCTATACAATCTATAGATCAGGTTGAATATGGAGCCCATTCCCCAACTCTTTATTTTCATAAATCTATCATTCCAGCCTATGGATTCCTTAAAGAGTGAACTGGTGTTCTCTTTAGAACAGGCTCAACATGGACTTTTTAGGTGAGGTCTAAAATATTTTCTTTTCTATGCTTCTTCTCTATGTTCCTATGTTTCACAATTTAAAGGACCACTCTAGGCACCCAGACCACTTCAGCTTAATGAAGTGGTCTGGGTGCCATGTCCTTCTAGGGTTAACCCATTTTTTCATAAACATAGCAGTTTCAGAGAAACTGCTATGTTTGTGAATGGGTTAAGCCTTCCCCTATTTCCTCTAGTGGCTGTCTCATTGACAGCCACTAGAGGCGCTTGCGTGCTTCTCACTGTGATTTTCACAGTGAGAGCACGCCAGCGTCCATAGGAAAACATTATGAATGCTTTCCTATGTGACCGGCTGAATGCGCGCGCAGCTCTTGCCGCGCGTGCGCATTCAGCCGACGGGGAGGAACGGAGGAGGAGAGCTCCCCGCCCAGCGCTGGAAAAAGGTAAGTTTTAACCCCTTTCCCCTTTCCAGAGCCGGGCGGGAGGGGGACCCTGAGGGTGGGGGCATGCTCAGGGCACTATAGTGCCAGGAAAACGAGTATGTTTTCCTGGCACTATAGTGGTCCTTTAACATGTATGTTTTTGGAACCAAAATCCAAAAGAAGGTGTCTGCGAATAAAACAGAACTAATGCTATCTTTTTTGATAGATACACATTTACATTTATGGGTAATTTTGCTATTGAAAACAAAACAACAAAAAGCAAATAATGTTCTCAAACCTGGGACTTTTCTAGAAGATCTACTAAAATTGGAGGCAGCTCTTCTGCATCCAGATATTCTAAAAGCTCTCCCTCTTCGTATGGGAGCCTGATAGTTTCTGAGTCTGGAGGGGGTTCAAGAAAACAGAATTAAAATCATCAACTTATCCACCTTGTCCAGACGTTCTAACCTGCACACACAAAACAATTTAAGGTGTTTTACTGCAAGTAAGACCTGATAATATAATATAATAGAAATGGCAACAAATCCTTTTACTGTAAAGCTAAATCTATCTCTTGGTATAACAGAGAAAAGGACCACTCCAGACCCCTAAAGAACCTTTGCTTGCTATGCTGTCGTGCTCTAGGTGTGAATATAGTGTCCTCTTTTTTCATTTTACAAAAAGTTCAGATTTCCATAGAAATTGGCACTTTTATCAATGAACATTGTTAAAACACCCTGGCTGAAATTAAGTGAAAAAAGAAAAAATATAATGAAATGCATGCACGTTTTCATTGTAGGCAGATCTACAAAACAGTGAATTTTTTTGTGTTTTGTTTTTTGGATTTGAGCAGTGGAGTGTCCATTTAATTTGGCAGTCCTTTCTACTATCCATTAGTGAAATGATTTTTTTTTTTTTTTTATTGTGGGAGATTAACAACAACATGCACTACTGTAAATATACAAGCTAAATGCACAACAAAATAAAATTTGCATAATTTGCATATGAAGCAATACCATTTTATATAATTTATGATTACTATGTGATCATAGCTTGCTTCACCAATAAAAAGAAAAGTTCTACATAATGCAAACATAAGCCTTGATTTTATATTTTAACATAAGCTTTTCAAATGATCAAAATTTGTTAGACTTTAATTGGGACTTCTGTAGTTAAAGCACTTGAAAAGTTTTTCTATGGGATTTTTTGTAGATAATTCATTTGAAAAGCACATCTAACAAATCGTGATCATCTGAAAGTTTTATCCAAAAATATTAAAATCGAGGCCATAGTGAGATGAGTAACAGCAATAATTTAATAATAAATTGACTACAGTAGTGTGATATAGAACATCTAATATCTATATCATGAAAGTGGTATTTACAGAACAAAATGATGTTTTTGTGGCTTAAGAGTAAAAAAAAAAAAAAAAAAAGATTAACATTTTCATTTATTTAAGAAAGTGCCAGAATGCATCTGATACTTCAAATAGATATTCTTGTTTTTCAACAAATAATTTTTTTTGTCTCCTCCACTCAAGTTCAAGAGAATTCCAAATATTTTCCCCAAGCTCATCATTATAGTTAACTGCTGTTGAGTCACATACAGGTGCAATGTAATGGCCCCCCACTGTAGGCACAATCTAACAATGCATAAACATTCCAGTCATAATCATTTTATTCTGTCATCACAAGAAATGGATCTGACAAAACTCTGGCCAAATGAGAATATCTCAGAACAGTTACATGTACAAGGTAGCAGAGTTTTCTGGTACCTGATCCATTTTTGCCTCGCAGCATCAGTGAGTAACCTTCGTTTCCAGGGTAAAGGTTGACTACAAGGCATGAGAGGGACTCTTGCATTACAAGTTTCTGCAGCAAGTTCACATTTCGTCTCAGGTTCTGTTTTAAAAATACAATGTAAGCAGGACAAAAAAATGACAAAAAGCACAGAGAGCAGAAAAACAGAGTCTTAGTTGTAAACAATATAACATTAATTTGGGTTTAAACAATAACATTATGGTTGTGATATTAGAGAAGGTGTAGGTAAGAACTGTGTCATGGTACATGACAGCCATAATTTTAAACTTGCATGGGAAAAGAGATGAAAAACAAATGCTAAAAGAAAATGAACTCTTAACAGTATAGGCTTAAAGGGGCACTATAGTCAAATGAACAACTACAGCTTAATGTAGTTGTTGTGGTGAGTAGAGTCAGTCCCTGCAGGCTATTTCATGTAAACATTAAGCGCTTTGCAGGCCTTTTTTTCTTGTACGTTACTGCCTATGGACATCTCCATTGGAAGTCACTCAGACTGCCACTAGAGGTGCTTCCTGTGTCTTCATGGAGATGCGGATTACCCAGCGCAGCATTTTTCCACACTTGCTCAATATCATCCCGATGGGAAAGTGTTAGATTTTCCACAGAGGCGGATCAGGGGAAGACCCAGAGCTGCATCCCGCCGGAATAAAGGTACGTTTTCTACTTATTTAAGGCTGATAAGATGGGTAAAGTAGTATTTATAAATTTGTATTCCTAACCTTAGTGTTTTTTTTTAAGCGGATTCTACTCATGCTGTAAAAATGTAATTATTCTATTATTACAGGGTTACTCCCTAAAGTGAGAATTTAAAGTGAATTTCTAATTCAAATGAATGCTATAGGCACCAAAACAACTTTTAGTTAATAAGGTTGGTGTAAAGATGAAACCCCTGCAATCTTCCTGCTCATTTTTTTTGTCCTTTAGGAATGAAATCACTTTGTTTACATAGCCCTTGTCACTCCTCCCTGCATGTGACTTGCACAGTCTTCCTAATCAGTTGCTGCAAAGAGAGATCTAAAGTTTATACTTTCTGTATTGTACACTCTGTTTTATTTAGAATTTGTTCTTTCCTGCTCCGTTAGTAGCCTTTTAGACCCTGCAGGAAGCTCCTGTGTGCGGTTAAAGTTCAATTTACGGAGTAGGAGATAAAATATCTAAAGCAAGTTAACATCTCATAATTGTAAAATTACATCTCATAATGTAAAATTAAAAAAACATGTTTTCATGCAGGCTGTGTGAGTCACAGCCAGTTGAGATGGACCAAGTGCTGCATAAACAGAAACAAAAGTGATTTAACTCCTAAATGGTAGAGAATTGAGCACTGTTAATATTAGAAAATCAAACCGTTATGTCTTATCTACTTTAATGCAATAATAGAACAACTGATACTAAGAAACCTACATTAAAACCATGCCATCATAACTTGTCCCAACCACATGGCCATTACACGTAAGTTTACAGAGGAAGAGGTTCTAGTTCAACTGTCAAAAGTAAAGACAAATAAGTCAATGGGACCTGATGGAATACACCCTAAGCTATTAAAAGAGCTTAGTGGTGTACTAGCAAAACCATTAACAGATATATTTAACCAATCATTGTTAACAGGAGTAGTCCCAGAAGATTGGAAGTTAGCGAATGTTGTGCCCATTTACAAGAAAGGTAATAGGGAGGGGTCGGGCAACTATAGGCCAGTAAGCCTTACTTCAGTAGTGGGGAAAGTGATGGAAACCATGTTAAAGGATAGGATTGATGAACATCTAAAACACATGGATTTCAAGATCAGAGACAACATGGGTTTACCTCAGGGAGATCATGCCAAACTAATCTTATTGATTTTTTTGATTGGGTAACTAAAATAATAGATCAGGGTGGTGCAGTAGATATTGCTTACCTAGATTTCAGTAAGGCTTTTGACACTGTTGAACATAGAAGGTTTATCAATAAACTGCAATCTTTAAGTTTGGATTCCAATATTGTTGAATGGGTAAGGCAGTGGCTGAGTGACAGGCAACAGAGGGTTGTAGATAATGGAATATATTTGAAGCTTGGACTTGTCACCAGTGGGGTACCTCAGGGATCTGTACTTGGACCCATTCTCTTTAATATTTTTATTAGTGATATTGCAGAAGGTCTTGATGGTAAAGTATATATTTTTGCTGATGATACTAAGATATGTAACAGGGTTGATGTTCCAGGAGGGATAAGCAAAATGGCAAATGATTTAGGTAAACTAGAAAAATGGTCAGAATTGTGGCAACTGACATTTAACGTGGATAAGTGCAAGATAATGCATCTTGGATGTAAAACCCAAGGGCAGAGTACAGAATATTTGATAGAGTCCTAACCTCAACATATGAGGAAAGGGATTTAGGGGTGATTATTTCTGATGACTTAAAGGTAGGCAGACAATGTAATAGAGAAGCAGGAAATGCTAGCAGAATGATAGTGCTCATGCCATTGTACAGAACACTGGTGAGACCTCACTTGGAGTATTGTACACAGTACTGGAGGCCGTATCTTCAGAAGGATATTGATACCTTAGAGAGGGTTCAGAGAAGGGCTAATAAACTGGTTCATGGATTGCGGGATAAAACTTACCAGGAAAGTTTAAAGGATCTTAACATGTATAGCTTGGAGGAAAGACGAGACGGGGGGATATGATAGAAACATTAAAATATATAAAGGGAATCAACACAGTAAAGGAGGATACTATATTTAAAAGAAGAAAAACTACCACAACAAGAGGACATAGTCTTAAATTAGAGGGACAAAGGTTTAAAAATAATATCAGGAAGTATTACTTTACTGAGAGGGTAGTGGATGCATGGAAAAGCCTTCCAGCTGAAGTGGTAGAGGTTAACACAGTAAAGGAGTTTAAGGATAAGGCTATCCTAACTATAAGATAAGACTAGGGACTAATGAAAGTATTTAGAAAATTGGGCGGACTAGATGGGCCGAATGGTTCTTATCTGCCGTCACATTCTATGTTTCTATTAATGGCTCCCAACAAATTCAGAACAATAATTCTGATTACACATTTTGGCTCCTACTTCAAACAAACTAGTTTCTAAACTTTGTGAGAGCCATGTTTATGAGCGGCCATATTCACATGATACCATCTGTATAAATCGGATGTGAAATTAAAGGTCATTAAACATATTTCTATTCTACTTTGTTATTAAAATAGTCCACACAACAAAGAATGTCTCATATAAGTATGTCAAAATTTGAGGGTTGGTTAATATCTCTAAATATAGAACACAATGCTAGAAAACTGTTCTAGAATTCTAAATGAATGTGACATTAATGATTAAGGTCTTCAAAAACAGTCCAAACAAACATACAATTTTGCACCTTGAAACTGGGGGTGGGGGAACGAGTAATACTAAAAATAGCAGGAAAAACCACCCATAGTTTTCGAAAGCAATGAGGTCATATAATGTCTATATGCACTGTTAAACTGTTCCATATGAATGTGAGATTCAACACACCATCAGTACCTGGAAGCAAGTATAATACATGCTAACATTTTAAATAAATACAGGAAAGCAGCAGGGGTAATAGTTTCCAGTCATAGGGAACGTATAACTACAATTTAAAAGTTAAGGTCGACATTGTAACGAGATGACATCATATTTGATGGTAGAACAATATTACATAGTAAGCACAAAACTAAAGAGTTTCCATTTCAGAACAGAAAAAATGAATAGAGGTTATATAATCCTTTAACTCGGCAGCGGGAGGTTGGATGGAAGAATATTATTGTTCAATATGCCAGTTAGTTAAGAGAAGACTATGAAAAGTAGAATTTTCATACATCCAATGTATTACACAAGGCATTTGATGCAAATCAGTTTTCATTTCCCATGTCTGAAGTGATAGTTCCTCTTTAAATCCCAGTGTTCGTTATCTGGCTATGTTGGCAGAGGCAAGTTAATTTTACATAGACTTCTGTAGCCACTTAGCAAAACTTTTCTAGGACTATATTAAAAAAATTGGATCACATGACAGTTCTATAAACCACTGCATGCTCTAAGATTATTTTACTTTGTAAGCAGCTATACTATAATTCACAAACATTGAAAAAACGTTAAGGAATAATAATATTTACCTTTATCTCTGGCTCTTTTTCACATTCTTCAATATATAAGTCATACAATTTATGAAACACAGATTTCCTATAAAATAAAAAAAGATACATTTTATACAGAAGTATATAGCTAATTATGTGAGCACACAGAAAAGAAAATGTCCCTCTAGTAATTAGTGCTCTTTATTAATAGGTTAAAATAAAATGTTACATGTTTTATTAGGAAATACACTTGAACATAGTTCTAAACAAAAATACAGCCATGTTAAAAAAATACCCGACAGGCTAATAACTAAAAATCACCTAAAAGAAATGTTTTTAGCGTTATGTTGTATTCATAATTATGTAGCTTCCTTTATACAGAAATAGCCGAAGATTGATATCTCTACTTATAGAGTACTGATAACCTTTACAACAACAGTGGCGTTAGCCTCCATACATCCCTTGTACATGTCTCCTTCCATACAACAAACTACAATATCTATACACCGACAGTCACAGAAAGACTGTTTAAATTAACAAAACACAGCTATATTATATGTTATATATAGCCGGAAAGTAAAATATATATTCACTTTGGATTAACAGCAAAAACAGATGTGAAATTCCTTGAAATTCCCAAATCCTAACGAGATAAAGAGATACATAACCTTAGTGTTAGGCAAAATGATTTAAATTGTGATTGTTGCAATATATGCTGTTTGTGTAACTAATCTTACACAGTCCACTAAGAAATTGTCCTAGTTTTTCAATAATATAGTATTATATATACTATATATTCAGATCAGTATTATTGTCAGCCTGAAAAGAACAGAGAAGGGAGGCTTTACCTTAAACTAGTAATCCAGTAACCGCTAAAAATAATAAATCTCCCGAAAATAAGCCCTAGCTTATTTTTGGGGATGCTCGTAATATAAGTCCTATCCCGAAAATAAGCCCTAGTCGCTAATCGCTAGCTCGCAAATCTATGTTCAGGGAATTTTTCCCAAATGTAGATACACGGGATTCCATTCGCAAGTAAGCTAATCTATGTTTGGGGAAGTTTCCATGGTAAAGAAAAACCCCTTCACAACATCCAGCCAAGTGACGAACACTCTCCAGGAGTTCGGCACATCATTATCCAAGTCTACCATAAAGAAAAGTCTTCACTAAAGCAAATACAGAGGGTTCACCACAGGTGCAAGCCAGTCATAAGCCTCAAGAATAGAGAAGAGCAACATCAGATCAACTTGTACCAGACTGATGGGAAGAAAAAAGCATGGAGAAAGCTTCACCTGTGTAACGGAGCACCTTGTACTCCGACTGAGTACCCTCCGTTGACGGATGCTCCTAGCGCTTCCTGAGGACTCCAAGCGCTGCAGCAGACACCACAACCACCGCAGACTCCGCAACCGCCGTATCTTGACTGGAATCTCGCCGTCTTCCTTCCACCCTGGATCAGCTTCTGTCCTCCAGGACTGTGTGGGAAAGAACTCTTCCTTCCACCCTGTATGAACCTCCAGCATCCAGGACTGTGTGGTGAAGACCCGTCCTCCAAGGAGAGCGTGTCAGGAACAAGCTCTTAAAAGAGCTAAGTGACTCAAGCTCAGGGAAGCATGCAGAGCATAACAATCCCCAGTGTGATTATAAAAGCTCCCTCCGATAACGAGACAAGGCTACATTTAGAGGGATCAAGAAGAACTGTCAAAACCTTTATTTCCCTTGGGACCAGCCAATAGGGTCACCACAATAACATTGTTGTGAAACCTCAATAAAATCACAAACAGTCAAACCATATCAAGCAACACACAATGACTTATCACAACACAATGGCACATTTTTAAAGGGGAGGGGGGAGACAATATTTAACAGTAAATATCTCACCTGCCTGCAGAATTAGCAATATGCAAATCTACCCGAATATGCAAATGAACCAGTCTTGCAATTCAGGTAGTGCATATTGCTGTTGCTACCAACAGAGGGCACTAGACAAGCTCCATAGCCAAACCCACCTAGTTGGTAGCAAACCTAAGCAATACAAGAGGCCCTGATGCCAGCTCTTCTGCTGGTGTAGCCTGCAGGACATCAGGCTCTGGACAAGGGACAAAGGGAGGGCAGAGGCCGACTGCACTCTGCCCAGCTGCCAGCTCTTCCGCTGGGGGGCTTGGGACATAGTCCCGCTCAGTAGCCAGGGGAACGTGGGGGTCAGTGGGGGTTAACATCTCCCCTGTTAACCCTGGGGCCAAGTTAGGAGTTAGCTGGGGCGGGGAATTCGTACTTACCCCCTCCTCCTGTTGTCCCTGTGAGGGTAGTTGGGGATCTGGACAGGCTGTCCAGCATCCCTGTAGGTCAGGCACAGAGACCACGGTCCCCTCTGCGCCATCTGGGAGATTGGTGTCTCCCTTTGGTAGTGTAAGCTGCCGCTGGGGAGATAGGGTGCTGTGCTCCTCTCCCTGAAACACAGGCTGCCGCTGGAGAGGGAGACCGCCTGTCTCCACTCCCATAACATTGTCCTGCTGCTGGAGAGAGAGACCAACTGTCTCTGCTCCCTGTAGGACACACTGCTGCTGGGGGGGAAGGACGACACCTTCGGCCCCCTGGAATTCGCACTGCCGCTGGGGAGGAAGGACGACACCTTCGGCTCCCTGTAACTTGCACTGCAGGAAGGACGACACCTTCGGCTCCCTGTACTGCACTGGGGAGGAAGGACGACACCTTCGCTCCCTGTAACTTGCACTGCCGCTGGAGACTAGGTGTCCATATCCTCAACCTCCACAGTTGTCGCTCAAAGGCCATTGCCGCACTGTTCTCAGCACTCAACTGGCGCATTACTTGGTGGACCACCTCGTTCGAAAGGTCTGGGCCATAGCAGACCAACCGCTTCTTTACCTCCTCAATGTAAGCGTCGTCCTCGTAGCGACGTATCATGTTGAGGTGCTCTTCGCAGGGCTATCCATCCCTGCTCCATGCTGCTGTAGTTAGGGACGCTGCACAGTGGCTAGCGTTGCCCTCAATAACCTCTCATACGATACCAGTGTCTCCGAGCTGCTTCTCCTCGCACTAGGACGCCATCCCACCGCTGCCACCAATGTAACGGAGCTCCTTGTACTCCGACTGAGTACCCTCCATTGACGGATGCTCCTAGCGCTTCCTGAGGACTCCCAAGCACTGCAGCAGACACCACAACCACAGCAGACTCTGCAACCGCCGTATCTTGACTGGAGACTTGCCGTCTTCCTTCCACCCTGGATCAGCTTCTGTCCTCCAGGACTGTGTGGGAAAGAACTCTTCCTTCCACCCTGTAAGAACCTCCAGCATCCAGGACTGTGTGGTGAAGACCCCTCCTCCAAGGAGAGCGTGTCAGGAACAAGCTCTTAAAAGAGCTAAGTGACTCAAGCTCAGGGAAGCATGCAGAGCATAGCAATCCCCAGTGTGATTATAACAGCTCCCTCCAATAACGAGACAAGGCTACATTTAGAGGGATCAAGAAGAACTGTCAAAACCTTTATTTCCCTTGGGACCAGCCAATAGGGTCACCACAATAACATTGTTGTGAAACCTCAATAAAATCACAAACAGTCAAACCATATCAAGCAACACACAGTGACTTATCACAACACAATGGCACATTTTTAAAGGGGTGGGGGGAGACAATATTTAACAGTAAATATCTCACTTGCCTGCAGAATTAGCAATATGCAAATCTACCCGAATATGCAAATGAACCAGTCTTGCAATTCAGGTAGTGCATATTGCTGTTGCTACCAACAGAGGGCACTAGACAAGCTCCATAGCCAAACCCACCTAGTTGGTAGCAAACCTCAGCAATACAAGAGAGCAGGCAATACATTACACAGCACACACACACTATATAAACAATTACATTACACACACCCTGCACCTATAATGGGTACAGGGTGACTAAAACATAAGATAAATAAAGCAGCCTACATAAATAGTCTGTCTGAAGGTAGACTAGGGGCTTTAAAGCCAGATACATGAAAGAGTCATAGTCACAGGGGAGGAGGCTGGCAAGTAGGCCTCTCCAGGACCAAGTGGCGAAGGCACTTCGTCACAACCTGTAAAACACGGTGGAGGCAGCGTGATGGCATGTGCATGCATGGCTTCCAATGGCACAGGGTCACTAGTGTTTATTGATGATGTGAAAGAAGACAGAAGCAGCTGGATGAATTCTGAAGTGTATAGCGTTATATTGTCTGCTCAGATTCAGCTAAATTCCGCAAAGCTGATTAGATTGCGCTTCACATTACAGATGAAAAATCATACTGCAAAAGCAACCTAGGAGTTTTTTTAAGGCAAAGAAGTGGAATATTCTGCAATGGCGTCAATCAACTGATTTCAACCCAATCAAACATGCATTTTACTTGCTGAAGACAAAACGTAAGGCAGAAAAAGCCAGGAACAAACAACAACTAAAGACAGCTGCAGTAAAGACCTGGCAAAGCATCACAAAGGAGGAAATCCAGCGTTTGGTGAGGTCTATGCATTCCCGACTTTAAGCAGTCATTGCCTGCAAAGGACTCTTGACAAAGTATTCAAAATTAAAATTTTATTTATAATTGTGTTCATTTGTCCAATTACACTTGAACCGCTGAAATAAGGGTACTGTGTATGAAAATGAATGCAATTCCTAAAAGATTCATAAGATATGTTTGTTCAACCCCTTGAATTAAAGCTGAAAGTGTGCACTTCAATTGCATCTCGGTTGTTTCATTTACAGCCAAAATTATGAAAACTGTGTCAGTGTCCAAATATTTCCAGATCTAATTCCCTTCAGTAAGCTTAGGTTTTTTTAGGGATATGAAGTGGTACAGTGCCATTAACATTTAGCCGAGCATCAAGACATAAAACCTTGGAATTAGCAGAAATTAAATAAAAATCCTTATTTCTCAGGACCAATGCTCATTTTACAACTCTTTTTTTCATGTGAAAGTTTTCACTCCAAAATAAAAACATAACTTTGAGAACTACGCAGTTTTTCTTTTTTTTTTTTTCTCATTTCGAATTACCTTCCTCCAGATGAATGCTTGCGTTTTGGAGGTCTTTGCCTGGCAGTCTCAATGACATACTGAAAAAGAGAAACAAAACAGTGCTGGAACAAATCTTGTTGTTTTAGGCTCTTTCCCGCTGGTACTATCCGAATATAAACAGTTTAGCAACAGCTTTGTGCAAAGGGAGTTGTGTGCACTTTGTTTAACCTTTCATACCATACAAACTTAACTTTGTTAGAGTTTTCTATCATATACATTGATGGGTCTGTGTATGCTCAAAAAAACTCCTACTAAACAAGCCTTATGCAAGTACACTGATCAAAACATCTGAATGCAAAAGATTCCACATGCTATAAGAAAATAAAAAAATTCAGACCACATCAATTTAATAACAGGAATTACATTATATTTTATTATTTTGTATATTATATTGAACCAGTACAAGGGTTTGTGCAGGTAAACGCGTGCTGCATTAGAATTAGTGACATTTGGAAGGGACAGCTGTAGCATACATGACATTCAGCTCTTGAGGTGTTATCTTGATTTTAAGATCCTAAATCAATGTTCGCACAATAAAAAAAAAAAAAATCTATTGAAGATCCCCTAAAGTTGCCTTTTCCTACAGTTGCCATTAGTGATAGCTGCTGTAATCTGACAAATTTGACGGGGGACCAGTGTTATTTTTGGCAGAAAATTTCAATTTAGTTTTAGTCATAGTTTTTTTTAACTAAATAGCCATTTTAGTTTTAGTTGTATTGTAGTCATCTGAATTGTTTTAGTCAACAAAATCTCCAGTAGATTCTAGTTGACTAAATCTAATGGAGATTTTAGTCAACACGACTAAAATCTAATGGGTTTAGTTAAAGGGATCATATAGTGCCAGGAAAACAAGCCCGTTTTCCTGACACCATAGGTTTAATAGTTACATTAAGCTGTAGTTGCTCTGGTGACTATAGTGTCCCTTTAATGCAAAAATAACTGTAAATTGTATACCGAACGCACAGGCCCAGCTTCTATTTATGTTATTACAATCTGTGTGTTGGTTAGCTCACAAATACTTATTTACATTTGTAAATGTAAGAGAAAAGAAAGAGATTCATAGATTCATTTAGGCAACAAACAGTTCATTTTGCTTCCTTAATGTACACCTTACCTCAGCTCGGTCCAGTGCAACTTCTAAGGTTTGTTGCTGAAAGCAAAACAGAATATTATTTCATTAGACTTTACTACGACCCACACACCAAAACAAAATCTTAACAACTCGTATACATAGGTATTAATATATTTATTACAGAACCTTACCATTGTGGCAGCCACAGATGCCTTAAAGGCAAAGGGTGCAAGTTAATGTAGGTCGGGGATCACATTAGTGTTGTGAAGCATCAAGAGCTGCGGGAAGAAAAATAAAATAAATTAACAAAAACAGTTTATTTACTGGAAACCTGCACAATGAGTTCACCAGACACAGGATAAACAAGTATATGTATCTCAATTATACCCATTATAATGCTTCATTATAATCCGGTTTAAATCCCAGAGTAAGGGAATTATAATTAGCATAATTTATATAGCGCCAACATATTCCGCAGAGCTTTACAATTAGAAAACGGGAATACCTGACAACAAGTAATTAACATACGGAATAGAACAGAGACAAAGGGGTTTACAGTCTATGAGCAAGGGGTAAATACACACAAGGGAAGTAACAGCATGTCAGAGTGATGGATAAGACACCTGTGTTGAAATAAGCTGGTAGACGTGGTGTGTGGAAGAAGCGAACAGTGGACGGAGAGAGAGAGTGAGCTGGACTATGGAGGCGAGAGAAAAGATGAAAGCAGTGAAATAATAAAAAGGTCACCCAGGAAGATGGTAAGCTTTTCTAAAGGGGTGTGTTATCAGTGACATCTTAATGAAAGTCTGACAGCACGGGGTAGTGAGTTCCAATGGAGTTCCAAGTGAACGGGCAGCTCTTGAAAAGTTGAGAGCTGGCAATATGGGAACGAGAATATGTCAGGGGAAAGTCATTTTCAGAGCGAAGGGAATGAAAAGGGGTATATTTGTTGAGTAGAGTGGAGTTAGAGGGGGCTTTGTAGGTTAGTGTTAGCAGTTTGAATTGGATCCTGGAAGGTACAGGAAGCAATGTAATAATTGGCAAAGGGGTCAGGTGTGTGAGTAGCCTGGAATGAATGGTAATCTCAAAACCGACTCATAGTGCTGCTTTATCCTACTCCGTTCTAAAAATGTCATAGGTTAAAAGATCTAAGTAATATATGTGGATTTGGTGCAATAGACAATGTCAGGCAACTCAGGGTGTATTGTTAAGTATACCAATTAATATCTATGGATATGAATGGTATTGCAATAGCAATATTACAATAACAATATTGCAAAAAATTATAGTAAAGCTAGCATTAAACTAACCAGTTCAGGAAAGTGTGTATATTATTTATGGAGAGCTCTGGTCTAGTCCAACTAGAAGACAATTAGATTCTCCCAGTCAATACAGTATATTCTAACACTCTGTGATAAATTCCACTACTGGTTGCCTATCAAGTCTTTTGCGCATGCCAAAGTCTTTATAGTCTTTTTTTTTTTTACAAAATAAATAAATGTTTTGCAGAGTTCGGCACCATAAGCCTACCTCCTTAGCCACGCCCCCTCATGCCAGAAAGACTTCCTTATCAAAGGTATGTACAAAGTCTCAACAGCACTGAGTAAGTGGATTTTCATTTACTACCAGGCTCGTCTTTGCACTTTTTCAAGTTCTTCAATACCCTTCTTTAAAATTAGTGCTCAAAACTGCACCACACATTGGAGGTGGGGATCTTATTCTTTTGGTGACTACAGTGTCACTTCAAGATGTATGCATAAGTCAAAAAACAGCATAGGTATATCAAAGGCATTGAAGAGCAAATGTTATCTTTAATGTAGGCGACACTTGTGATTAAATTTCCAGATTTTTTCACAATAATTTCAATTAAAAAAAACAAACCACTGACATATTTACTGGGGTTCCTGTGCTTATCTTCTGCATGATCCCTTTACTATTATTTTAGCCCCAGCTTTTAATGTTCAGGAGAGGGCCATATTGCCATTGTCCACTTGTCGCCTCCATTCTGTGCATGCTGATGTCAGACATCCAATATGCACAAAATTAACATTTACCACGTTGGCTGGCTACTTATTTTTCTAAATGGCATTGCCAAAGGGGATGTTATATCTACTGCCATGCCGACCCAACCTTCCCATGATCGTCGTAACAAACTAAAAAGTTAAACTTGAGAGTGCATCCTTCTTGGACAGATATGCCTAATCTCAACCTCACTAGAGTTGAAGATGTTTTCTCCCCCAATTCAATTCATTTGGCCAAAAAAAAGATAATTTACTGACAAACTCACAAAGGCTCACGGTTAAGTAAATAAAAATAGGAGAGACTTTTCTGTCTATTCTACTGTGTGATGTCTATTCATTGTCTTGAAAATAAGGCTTCATAGAACATTGGAAGTTAGAATTTTTCACTTAAGTGTAAAGGCTCAAAGTTTACCATATTTTGGAATCTGCCCCATGTGAATTAGGCCTCACAATGTGAAATACATTGTAATTCAACATAGCAAAGCATTTAATGAAAATGCTAGTCTTTGCCAATATAAGCAATACAGCTAGAATATCATGTGTCTTCTAGGTTGGTTTTACGATCACTCACAGTGACCACACAAATGAATTTATTCCCTATTGATTTGTGTCTTATTTTCCTGCACACAGGAGCTGAAGTAAATGAATAGATCAGCTTACACCTATTTCATAAGTGGCCTACAAATTAATTAAAGGAGCAAGAAAGCACGTCCGTCAGAGTCTAGTGAACTGTAGTCCCCTTCACATACATTTAGCATTTTTGTAACACTAGCTTATCTCCTATTATCTGTTAGGACTTTGCAAGTATGGGATTGTGTGATAAAAACTCACAAGCCTGGGACTTTCTCATTGATTTCACTGACTGGCAGCATCTCCTCTATCAGTTGCAAAACGGAGGCCCTTACTGCTCTGAAGGCAGACAGAGAGCAGTCCGTATGCTTCAGTTTGCAGCAAGGGAGCTCACATGGATGGTTTAAAACAGCACATACCCTTAAAGGTACACATCATTGTAGCGCCATACCAGCTTTATTGTTTAATTAAAGGAAGGCTCCAAGCATGCTGTAGAGGTTTTGGTAACAGGAGTGCCCTGGCACTCCCATATTGTAAGAAGTCCTAAGAATGGGAATGGTTAGATTTATTTCCTGGTGCCCGCCGCTGTAAACTCCTAAGCTCTGCAGTGCTAGCTCACTGTCGTGAATGTCAGTTGATCACTACACCACTTAGCTTAGCTCAGACAGAGATTCTGGCTCTCTGTCTGAAATGGTGAAGACAGGGAGCGGAACCAATGGATCCCAGCTAAGAACTCGAATTGTTCTACTTACAGTGGGGGGCACCAGGGCATTATTGGCAATATAACCACTACAATGTGATGTAGTATTTAGGGTGCGCTCAATGTTCCTTTAAATGTGTGCTTAAAAAAATTAAAAACAGACGGTCACGACGATCCAATGCAAACTACTGTTTATACTCTTATGACCGACATTGTTATGCCTTAAATGACCACCTTTGATTGTGTTTTATTAGGTACTTGACTTTTAACATACTTTGTGATATGCAATTGTATACCGTGTTGGTGATATGTATGCATATGTCGACTGTCTCTATGTTATCTACTGCCGAGACAAAATAAAGAATAAAATAAATAAAACGGAAATAAAAGAATACCTAAAATATAATGTGAAATATTAAAAAGAGTTCATATTGGAAATGTTAGGCCAAAATTGATCAGCTGTAAAATAGGGTAGCTACTTTTCTTCACCTGGCTATTTCTGTCTAAAATTTGCAATTTCCTTGTAAATTGTCTTTATGCCCCAGTTTAAGCCCCTAAAACATTTTTATTTTCAGCAAAAAATAAATTTGAATGTTGGTCTTTCGAAGAATGCCTTGAACAATGAACTAGCTGCATCCCTTACCAGTTGATATAAATAGTTCTCTATTGTATGTAAATAGAGAAAATGAATTGGAAGATAACATTGTGAATAGACAACAATCCTAAAGTCACTTTTTTTGTAAATTGATCTCATTTACAAAATTGCAAATGTATTTAAATTTGTAAAAGTACCTTAGTTATCGCCGCGCATGTGCATTAGGTCTCCCCACCCGGCTGACGTTGTTGGGGAGGAGCAGAGGCCGAGCTTGAACCAGTGCCAAGGGACATCGACGCTGGAATTAGGTGGCAAAAGGGCACCCTCTGCATCATAGCGGGAATGGTGGGGCCCTATAGGGAGCTATAGTGCCAGGAAAATAATTTTGTATATAGGTAAACAAACAGCTGAATAGGACAACTAAAGGGTCTCCGCCGTGACACTCAGAGAAAAGTTAAGTGTCAAGGTGAGAACCAGTGGTCCTAGGCACCTAATTGAGACTCCAGGGGTCTCTAAGGGCTTGACCCTATAATAAATATACCAAAAAGAGAGAGAATTAATACACCGACTCTCATGCAGACATCGCATGGAAGTCGCTGTATTGCCTGGAAATATCTGTAGTCCCAAGTAGAGTCAATGCAAAAATAATAGGATGAGGCAGAAAACTAAGGTAAATACACCAACGAAAAATGCAATCACTAACCAATAAGCTGCTATGCCTGCAGATATGTGTCAACTCAGTAAAAAGGGGGTTATGTCCACATAGAGGAAATCTTAGATAAAATTAGCTTTATTACAATTGGCTCAAGAGATAGAGCCTCTATTGGGTCCCCAATAGGTTAAAGTTAACTACATAAAGAACACACCAGGTCATCCCAGAGACTATCAGGAATAAAAAATAATAATAATAGTAGCTATATTCTCTGCCCTAGCTGAATATACAGGAAAATGAATTGCCAAATCAGGACAGGGTAGCCAATTATTGTCAAATCACTGTGGGTAGATAGATATAGCTGAAAGATATCAGTTAAATGACTCAGTTAGGGATACCAATAGTATATATGATGGTATCATAAAGATAGACCTGTGAGACAGGTATTAGCCAGATATAAGGTATATACAGGAGGATAGTAGTAAAGAATAAGCCAGTCAAAAGATGAACTGGCAATAATTAACTAACACAGCCTCTTTCCTGTTAAACTGGCTAGATAGGCATAGGAGGAAAAAGTAGTAGAAAAAGGATTACATAAAATGAATCAAGCGTGCTTAAAAATAAACAGTGCCGTTCCCAGTGCCCATAACCCGTAAAGAAGAATGCCCAATGCGCGTTTCGGAGCAATACTGAGTGCACCTCCGTCAGGGGTACCTTCGTATATAGGTACCCTTAAAGGTTTGAAATGGATTTCTTTTCACAGATTATTTGGTCCACCTTTGCTTCAACAAATCAACTAAGCCTTGAATATAGGCTTTGAAATTAAACTTTACTGTCATATACAAGTTATGCAAAGGCCACTTCTACCCTTATGTTTTTTGCTGTACTTTATAAGGGATAGATTCTGCATCATACCATCAATATCAACCATATTGTAATTCAAAATATGTGCAAAAAGAAATCTAAACTGTAACAATATTTAATACAGCTTCTAAAAGGCCAAAAGATGCATTACTCATAACATCACTGAACAATTTGTTTTCAGCATATTTTTTGCAAATGTATAACACACTTAGAAATCCCTGAATTTAGACTCTAATGCAGGATGCGGGTTTATAGAAAACCCTTCCTAAACTACTTGCTATTTAATCAAGGGTTATGCCATGGCCCTCTAGGCACCATAACCACTACATCTTTTTTTTTGCCCAACACACAGGAATTATTCTGTAAAATGATCTTTTATAAAAATCAGCCTCATTAACAATAGCAAGAAATGAATAGTTTTTCCAGGATGTTCTGGGGTATTATTATTTATAAAACGTCAACAAATTCTGCAGCCTTGTACAATGGGATAAATGTTGTTACTCAACTCACTGACACTTGTTTTTTTATTAATTAGTATTTGCATCAGGAAAATTTGGACGCACAGTAACAGAGGGTGTTGAGGGCCATGATCAAACAAGACTATATTCTAGGGGTTAAACCGCAAAAGGATGAAAAAGTGAACCATGTCAAAAATGAATCATAATGGACAGGCAGTCAAAGACTTCGATTTATCAGTACACGGCTAGCTTTGCATCTATAATTCTCACAACACAAAAGAGTGCCAGTGCAAACAAAGGCTGGCTCTGCATTCTAGAACTTGTCGTCCAACATGGCAGGTGTTTCATAAGTTGCCCAGGACTACATACCCTAATTCACACTAGTGCCAGGAAAAGGAACTCTGTGGAGGTGCTTTTTAATGCAAATCTAATCACACTAATCCAGCCAATGTAGAAACGTGGACATGTGACATAAATTATGGTCCAGCACCACAGTGCCATATTATTGCTGTTTTGTTGTGTTTGTTTGCACCACTAAGATTTGGAGTCTCATGCTGCATTGTTATACATCCTATTATCATTACAGAAACTGTAAACCTGCTACTTTGCCTCTTAAAATTGCCAAATGTAACAGCAGCTAGTGGATATGACAGGCATACCATCACCTGAACACTGCATTCAATTCATCTATGTATCATTTGCATTGTGAAAGAAGAAGAAGAAGAAGAAGAAGAAGAAGAGAGAAAAAAAAACAAAAACAAAAAAAGAAACAACTGTTAATTCACATTCAGTCTATAGAGGGGGTGCACAAAACACAGAACCACAACCTGATGGAGAACTACAACTCCCATGATGCTTTGCCTGCAAGTTGTGGTTCCTAAACAGCAGGAGAATGTATACATTGTGACCACCTTTGTTCTAGAACTACCATAGATTATATATATTTTTTTTTCCATGATCCTCTAAAGGAAGAGGGGGGTGACATTAAACCCATTGTAGCCCTGGTCTATGTCCCCAGGTTTAGGCAGGGTGCTGTATTCCAATGAAGGTGATGGTTAATACCAGGAGAATGCAGAGTTTATCACAGCCCACTGCCCACATTACACCCAGTCACCCCATACAGCACATTATTAATCATTTTTTACTCACTCATTGACTCCAGAGGATGCCCGGGGAGGATTACTGATACACTGCTTCCGTAGGCCGGAGGGGGCGGAGACTGGAGACCAAAACTGAAAGCAGTGGGAGCCAACAAAATGGCGGCCTCTCCTCTCTCTCGCTAGCTCGGTGCTCCCAGCGTTAGGCGCTGCCTCGGGGGGATATCCCGAGTCCTCAATTTGTTTATTAGGCATCGGAGATTGTATTATCGCGGGTATAGCCGAAAGCTAGACTCCTCAGTGTTGGAGAAATACAACTCCCGTGATGCTCTGTCATCTGTAGTGATGGCAAAGCATCACGGGAGCTGTAGTTCTGTAAGAACACCATCCTTTGTTCGCCTTCTGTGTTGTGGTGTTAATGTCTTTACTACGTTAGTAAGCAAATGAATGTAGGTTGTTTTTTTAAAGGTAAAGGGAAATTTGCAAAAAAAATGAATGTGTGTAGCTTTATACTACAATTCTAGAGCATGAATTGAAAATGATCAACTTGTATCTGTGTAGCTGCTAATAATTATAAATGTTACAGGGAAATTTATAAACACTGTTACAAATACAAGTTTTTGTTTTTTTCAGTGTAACCCTTTGACATAGTGTACCAAAATTGTGTACCAAAATTGGTACACAATTTTGGTACCAAAATTTCAGTGTAACCCTTTGACATAGTGTACCAAAATTGTGGAATAAATTGTGCTGTAGGGCAAATCTTTTAATTTGAAGAGTGTCTTTTATAGCAAATGTAGTTTTTTTTTGTATACAAACACTAATTTCTACAGATAGTAAACAGATTGTAGTACTTAGGGGCAGGTGTGCTTTTTTATTTTTATATGTAAAGTCGATGTTTGCCTATAATTTTTGCATTTTCATATAGGAGTGTGTTTTGTATGTAATGTTTGCATTTGCGTGCAGGGGTGTTTTTGGATTTTTATTTTATTTTATTTTATTTTATATACAAACATATAACATTTATTCAGGATGGTATACAATACACTATTAGTAAACCCATTCTTGTTCTGCTCAATATGTAACATATTGATGTTTGAGTGTTTGTGTATAAATTTGGAGTTTGAATTCAGGGGTGTTTTCGTATGTAATGTTTGTGTTTGCATGTTGAGTTGGTGTTTGATTGCTGGGACGTATGCACATACACTGCCACATACATACACATTAACACACAGATAAACACATTGACACACAGACACAAAGATACACACAGATATACACACACTCTGATACACACAGTGACACATACACACACCTTGACACACACACTGACACACAGATACACACACGAGGATACAAACACTGGCACATACACACACTGATACACAGATACTGGCACAGATACATGCGCTCAGATACACACAATGATACACAGATACACACACTGACACATATATACACACATTGGCACATACTTACTCAGATACACAAAGTGACACACACACACACACAAAATCTGACATAAATAAACACATACATGTTAAAATGTTTGTATTTGCAGCCAACCTCCTGTTACCTCACCTTTGTGTCCTGGAGGGCGGCTGGCTTTGGGTTCTAGTCCTGGCTGAGGCTGATGGGAGTGAACATGCAGCAGCTCACTCCAGCCATCCTCTGCCTCCATGCTGCTGTGCCTCTGTCTCCAGCCTCATCCTTCCTTACTCAATGCCTCCCGCACAGCTCGCCCTCTAAAGCTGGGAGGAAGTAGCAGGTTGTCACTTCCTCCCAGTCAGCTGATATTGCAAGGGCCGGTTGCCCTCTTATAGAACCGCGGCACCCGGCCAGGCCCTGTTTATTGATAATACCACTCGAGTAGCCCAAGTGCATGGGCCACTTGATGGGCAAAGTATGGCGTAATCATTTGGGAAACCCTGGTATAGACCATCATAGCTTTCTTCCATCTCTGACTGGATGTCCTCCAGCTTTCTGAAACCCAATCTCTCTAAAACTGAGCTCCTTGTCTTTCCTCCTCCTAATACTGATCCTCCTCTTTCGCTCTCCCTTCAAGTTAGTGGTATCCACCTCAGTCCATCCTTGCAAGCGCACTGTCTTGGCGTCATACTTGATTCTGCCCTCACCTTTGAACCTCACATCCAGTATGTTACCAAATCCTGTAGATTCCATCTTAAAAACATAGACCGCATTCGCCCCTTTCTTACGCAAGATGCTACCAAGGAGCTTGTCCATGCTCTAGTAATTTCTCGCATGGATTATTGTAACCCTCTCCTAATTGGTCTTCCCAAAAGCCGTATTGCCCCACTACAGTCTGTAATGAATGCTGCCACCAGACTGATTTTCCTCTCTAGTCGGTCCTCTCACACCTCACCCCTCTGTCAGTCCTTACATTGGCTTCCTGTATCCAATAGGAGTCAATTCAGAGTGCTAACCCATACCTATAAAGCATTGAACAAATCTAGCCCCTCTCATATCTCTTCACAGATCCACAGGTATACCCCTTCTCGGTCTCTCCGCTCTGCCCATGACATTCACCTGTCCGCTGCTCGCACCCGTAGGGTCAACTCACACTTGCAGGACTTCTTGCGGGAGGCTCCCGTCCTATGGAATATCCTGCCTACCACCATCAGACTCTCCCTTAGTCTTCAATCGTTTAAGAAGTGCCTTAAAACCTATTTCTTTAGGAAAGTTTATGGCCTCCCAGAGTAACCTCTACCTCACATACCTGTCTCATGCTCTCTCCTAAAGGGCAGCACTCTGCTCTCTCCTCCAGCTCTGCTTCACTCCCACCTTATTTGATTGCTATTTCCTGTCCTATTGTGTTTTACACCCCACCTCCTATAGATTGTAAGCTCATTTGAGCAGGTTCCTCTTCAACCTATCGTTCCTGTAAGTTTTCTTGTAATTGTCCTATTTATTGTTAAATGCCCCCTCTTATAATATTGTAAAGTGCTACGAAATCTGTTGGCGCTATATAAATGGCAATAACAATAATAGCTGTAAGGTAAAAGCAGAGCAAGATCCCTGCTAATACATGAGCACATATACAGTATCTCACAAAAGTGAGTACACCCCTCACATTTTTGTAAATATTTTATTATATCTTTTCATGTGATAACACTGAAGAAATGACACTCTGCTACAATGTAAAGTAGTAAGCGTACAGGCTGTATAACAGTGTAAATTTGCTGTCCCCTCAAAATAACTCAACACACAGCCATGTTTAAACTGTTGGCAACAAAAGTGAGTACAACCCTAAGTGGAAATGTTATAATTGGGCCCAAATTGTCAATATTTTGTGTGGCCACCATTATTTTCCAGCACTGCTTTAACCCTCATGGGCATGGAGTTCACCAGAGCTTCACAGGTTGCCACTGGAGTCCTCTTCCACTCCTCCATGATGACATCATGAAGCTGGTGGATGTTAGAAACCTTGTTCTCATCGGACCACAGGACATGGTTCCAGTAATCCATGCCCTTAGTCTGCTTGTCTTCAGCAAACTGTTTGCGAGCTTTCTTGTGCATCATCTTTAGAAGAGGCTTCCTTTTGGGATGAAAGCCATGCAGACACAATTTCAAGCAGTGTGCGACGTATGGTCTGAGCACTCACAGGCTGACCCCCCACCCCTTCAACCTCTGCAGCAATGCTGGCAGCACTTATACGTCTATTTCCCAAAGACAACCCCTGGATATGACGCTGAGCACGTGCACTCCACTTCTTTGGTCGACCTGTTCTGAGTGGAACCTGTCATGTGAAAATGCTGTATGGTCTTGCCAGCCGTGCTGCAGCTCAGTTTCTGGGTCTTGGCAATCTTCTTATAGCCTATTCCATCTTTACGTAGAGCAACAATTCTTTTTTTCAGATCCTCAGAGAGTTCTTTGCCATGAGGTGCCATGTTGAATAGTGATGTCGCGAACATAAGATTTTCGGTTCGCGAACGGCGAACGCGAATTTCGGCAAATGTTCGCGAACCCGCGAACCGGGCAAACCACCATAGACTTCAATAGACAGGCGAATTTTAAAACACACAAGATGTTTCAAGGGGACTAACACCTGGACTGTGGCATGCAAACTCCGATCCGCGGCTGCATCTTGCAGCCGCTTAGTAGATAACTCCCTAATTCCCACGGTATTAGGGAGTTATCTACTAAAAGGCTGAAAGACCTAAATTGGTCTTTCAGCCACATTTACTAATACGAAGTAAAGATTACTTAGTATTAGTAAATGATCTGCCCCTACTCGCTATGCAGCGAGTAGGGGCATGTCTAGTAAGCAGTGAGCAGCCAGTGGCTGCTCACTGTAAAAAAACAAACAAACAAAAAAAACAAAACTATTAGCTCCCACCCCTGTGCAACGGGTGGGGGCCATTAATTACAATGGGGGGGAGGCCCTACTGTCCTCCCCCCCGGCCCCCACCCCTGCGCGGTGGGTGGGGCCATAAAAATAATGAGGGGGGGGACCTACTGTCCTCCCCCCCGGCCCCCACCCCTGAGCAGCGGGTGGGGGCCCTAAATTGGAATAAGGGGGGTACCTAAGGTCCTCCTCCCTGGCCCCCACCCCTGAGCGGTGGGTGGGGGCCCTAAATTGGAATAAGGGGGGGACCTAAGGTCCTCCCCCTGGCCCCCACCCCTGAGCGGCGGGTGGGG